TCAGAAATAAATGTACAAATCAGGAGACCAAAGCAAGACTTCCAGGGGATCTCAGTGTGGCACAGCCACCAAATGATGTCTGCAGAAGGGACAGACCTTTGTGATGGACAGAGGAGGGACTGCATGAGGGAGCAGCCCATTCTGGAGATCCCATTCAGGATACATTCCCGTACCCATTTCAGCACCATCAGGTGCTTGCTGCCGTGCTTCCAGCCTCACTAAAATAGCCTTGCCATCATTATCACCTCTCTAATTGCCAAGCTATTTTCTGCTATTGAAGCAGTGTTGCTGTAGGGTTGTGCCCCTAATTGCTGTGTCGACCACCAGTAAGTTTGGCATTCCCAATCAAACCCAGTGTGACAAACCAAATTTCAGGCCTCCGCATCATTGCCAAAATCCAGTGCCTGTTTGTGCATAAAATCCACTCTATCCAGAGCTATTCAAATGCCAGAGATAAGAGATTATTATGACTTCATGTCATGTTGAAAGACAGGTGGAGGAGAGCACAGTGTTTGTGTTGGATTCAAATGTCTGCTGAGATCATTTCTGTCATGCTAATTGATGCTGCATCTGTCTTTAGATTGCGATTATTGGGGAAGAAAGAAAAAAAAAAAAGCTGAAGATCTTATTCAGAGAAGTAATTACAGTTGTACACTGGTAGATAGAAAGTACTTGGGGGGATGGGACCAACATTCTGTAATTTATCACATTCCTCCATCCCTGAAAAACGCTGTGATGCTGGGCAGTGCAGCAGTCCTGCTGCAGGAACTGCTGCCGTGGGGATTGCTGTGGTCAAATGTGGGGCACGGGTTTTCATTTATTCCTTCCAATTTTGTTCTTCTATTGTGTTTGGAGCATTAGTTTCCAACTATCCAGAGACGAGGCAGACAAACAATAGCAGGCTTTATTAATAGCCAGGGAGGTAATCCCCAAGCCTGAGAGCAATTGCACACATAAGCTGGAGGGGGAAGAAAGGGAATTCTGCTCTGTCTGCCTTTCCAAAAATTCACCTTCCGAAGTCCTTCAGTGTGATATAGTTACAGGCAGTACTAAATCTGCATTACTTTGACAAACTTTCATTGAAGCCATTGAGGATTATTAATGGAAGCAGTATACTAAGTCTCTCTTCAGCAGATGCCGTATATCCCAGTGGTGTGGCTGTGGGCTTTTTTATTTTTCCTTTTTCTTGTTCTCATTCTTCTTCGTGGTGGTTGTGTGGATGCTAGCTGAAGTTTTCACAGGTATGTTTTAATACAGAGCACCAGTGAGGGTGCTATCTTCCTCTTCGTATTTCAGGTGGAATATTAGGAAAATTTATTCTCAGAGTGGTCAGGCATTGGAACAGGGAAAGTGGTGGATTCACTGTCCCTTGGAGTTGTCCAGGAACCATGGAGATGTGGCACTGAGGGACATGGTGGGTGGGCAGGGTGGGGATGGGTTGGGGTTGGACTTGGGGATCTCAGAGGTCTTTTCCAACCTCATTGATTCTGTGATTCTGTGATCACTGCACAAGCCCCCTGTGGTACCCATCCCTGCACCAAAGATATTCCCAATCCGAGGCAGCAGTGGTTTGGCCACTGGGTAATAAATTATCCTGAAATAGCTTTAGGCACAGACGGTATGGAACTGCTCTCCCATGTGGTTATCCCTTAAAAGAGTGCAGTTGTGATTGCTGTGGTGGGTGAAGGTTGTGTTTTTCACAGCATACACAAGAGCAATTCAGGCACTTAGTACAATTTTCTTGCCCATTGTGTGCAAAGTAAGAAGGTGTGGGGAGGTGGGAGTAAATTCTGTGTGTAGAGCAGTTGAAAGGATAGACCTGGAAATCCTGCTTGAGAGTGTCTGCAGTACCCCAAGTCCACGCAGGGATGGGGGGATCGTGGCTGCTGTTTCCAGGTGGGATTCAAAGCCTCAGCAGATCCAGCTCTTGCCTTGGCCCTGGCTTACTGCATGGTGCCCATTGCCCCCACGTAGGGGGGATAACTATAATTTTTACGTAAGCTAAATGATTTTCACTTACATTTCACTCCCAGAACATTGTTTAAGAAGGTCTTGGAAGCGTAATTTCATGCTAGTATCTGCAATTGTGAGCCACAGCCTCAGGCGGTGAGAGAATTTCTTGGTATCTAGGCAATAGAGTTTATGTATAGAACTGCTTCCTGCAGCTTTGGGGGCTTATTCTTCTGCTAGTTGTCTTTCTAATCTCTACATCATGCTTTTGAAACAAGGAATTTGTTCATAAGTTAGGAATCTGCAGATGAAACATGAGATAAAGATGAGATGTGTCAACTTCAGCATTTTTTATATTTCTGGAAATTGAAAACTAATTGCTTATCAGAAATGTTCATCAGCAAGTTCCCAAGCAAAGGTGAAAGTTTTATGTTCAGAAAGCTTGCTGCTTCGCTGCCTCCGATTGTGCAGTAGTTCGGGAGGAACAGACCCCTCCTTCATCTGCTGCCAAGTCTGGGAATTGTAAAATTAAGGGGCTTTTTTTTTTAGCACAGTTCCGTAAGACACGCATGTCCAGATGCAATTTTAACTTCTCATTTACATTTGCAATTCAGTGCGTGTAGGAGCCTCCAAAAATGAAGTCTTCCATGAGAATTAACTTGGAGTAATATAAAGTAATAAAATTGATTGCGGCCCCTTCTCAGTTGTCTTCTGAAAATTATTAAACAAATACGTTCTGTAATGGGTATCAGCATCTTCTAGAAGGTTTCCTTTCCCCTCCCTTTACATTTTGTTACAACAATCAGCTCCACAATGACTCATTGCCTTCGTTAGGAGCGGGAAGACATCCCTCATTATTCATTACTAAAGGAAGGACTTTGCTGCTGCAAGGAACAGCCACGGCATCCTAATTCTGCTACCTTACCAGAGAAAGGAGTCAATGTCATTCTTCCCCAAACTTTGCTGAAAGAGACAGGAAATAATGCTGTTTAATTGTCTCCATTTATAAATAGCTCATTCACAATAAGAGAGCTGCATTTTTAATACTGCAGTCAGGAGGAAAAGAGACACATTTTCCCACTTTGTGTCTGAATTTCATTACTGGGAGCTTGCGATCAGCCTTTAGAAGGTATGAATGATCATAGACACAGATGTACAAGTATGACATGCATTTATTTATTTACAATTTACCGTATTAATTTTTAATTGCAGAGCACTGCAGATGTGTTACATAGGTACACACACAGCATTTACTGATCACATAATGCAGGGATTTCCTAGGGAGTAGGGAGGGCTGTACTAAAGCTGCTGGTTTTCTTGGTTTTACCAATACAAATGTTCTTTCTCTCTTTTTGCTCTCCCTTTCTTCAGTTATCTTTTCTTAAATATTAAGTGATTGACCTTGTATTATGTTTTTACTGTCTTTTAATGCGGTTTTTATTAAGCTTTATAACAGACTGTGCTTCTTTATAAATAAAACTATGACCATGTATTACTAGAAACCCCATTTCCAACTGTACTTTTGCCAGACTTGGTTAGATTTTCTAGGAAGGGACATTATAATTGTGTGATTAATCTTCAGAAAGGAGAAATTTTGGCTCTGCAGTATTTCTTACTGTATTAACTCCAGAGATTTATAAAACCAACTTGAAACTGCACTGTAAGTGTGTTTATAATGACTTTTAGCTGATTTAATAATCCTCAAAGTTTGGTGACTGTACAGATCGCAGCTTCACAAATGCAGTCCATTACCTGTAGCATCCAGATGAAGTTATCAGAGGTGTAGGAAATGACTTGGGATTGTGTTTCTCCTTAGCCATGCACTAATCCAGCCTGCGGCTGGGGCTCTCGGGGTCCTTGCCTGCATTTATCCCATTATGCAGCGGGGACATGTGCATGGATGATAAAGAACATCTTCGTGTTGCAAGTCGAGCCAGGGCATGTGTATGCCATCAAATCTTGGTGGAGCAGTTGTAAAGCACCCGGTGTGCTAATGTTGTTAGGAAAATTTTCAAGCCAGTCTGTGATTCATTTTTTCTGTCGTTATCAGTAACTCAGTGTGCTGCTGCTAATGCCACTCCCTGCAGCTGCACTGCTTAATGTCTCTTTTAGCTCACGATCCTGCAGAATTTTTTCGATCCAAGGAGCCCTTGATCATGCAAATAGCGCTGCTAATTGCAGGTTTTGGTGATGCCTTATCCCAGAGGAGTAAGAGTCTCTTGAACAAGTGGCAGTGCGCTGGATCAAATCCTGAGCTTGCCTCCATGTGACAAGCCACGGCGTGGGGCTGTTTTTAAAAGTCACCAGTTTAAACAAAAACCAGCTGAAAGGACGCCAAGAGCCTTATGTTAAGCTTTCTGGCTGTTTGCTTCCTTCAGTGTTTCCAAGCTTTGCTTTTCATAATGATAAATATCAAACAACAACCCTGGGAGTCACTGGGAGCTAGATTGGCAGGTCTCAGCCTCCATTTAACATGCAGATGATCAGTCTATGGCACATATGGCCGCTTGCTAGATCAGAGCTCGGTTCATTAACACAGAACTCGGAGAGCTCTGGGTGGATGTGGAGTAAGTGCATAATAACCCTGAGCACTGTGCCGTGAGCCAGGAAGTGAGCAATGTGCAGCACAGAACTGAATTTGCACATGTTCAAGAAACCAAATACTAGACTTTTTTTTTTTTTTTTTTTCAGAACCCTGAATTTTTCTTCCAGTTCACAACAGTTAAGTAATCAGATTTCAATCAACTGCATATTTCCAGGCCAATTATTTGAGATTCTTTGTGACTTTAAAGCAGTTCCTGACCTTCATCTCTCAGACGACATGCAGAGCTTCCTTAAACGATGCTAAGGATTGCATAGGAGCTCACTGACACCTACAGAACTCACCTCTTTGGCATTTTCTTACTTTTCACTTTATGAAGCAGATAAAAGAATAGCGATTTCTTTTTCCAGACTCCCTTGTTTGCTCTGTGATGTACTGTGAGGTGTCAATCCACCCAAACGTTTCTTTGAGCTGTGTGAAACCTAATGAGTGCCATTGTGTTCTTCAGGCATCCACTGTGACAATATGTGCACCCAGGGCCGCTGGGGACCGAACTGCTCCATCTCCTGTAGCTGTGAGAATGGTGGATCCTGCTCTCCAGAGGACGGCACCTGTGACTGTGCACCTGGCTACAGAGGACCCCTGTGCCAAAGAAGTAAGATTTCCCAAGGATGTACTGACAGAAGCAAAGCAGATAGAAATGTTATCTATGGCACCAGACAAAGCCATGGGTTTCTGAGTGGCATGAGCTGAGGACTTAGCCCAGAAATGCTTTTTGGCCAAGAAGACAAGGCTCTGCTGGATAGAATGTTGCCTTCTGTTTCTTATGGCCTTCCACAGTACCTAGAGGACACATGTGGCCTAAAAGTACCACAGAACCATAGAACTGCAGAATCATTAAGGTTGGAAAAGACCAGTAAGATCAGCCAGTGCAGCCCATCACCACCATCACTATGCCCACTAAGCCATGTCCTTCAAAAAGGAGTGACAACTTTGCGTGACAAACTTGGCAAGATGTGGGTAGAATCAAGTTTCTAGATATGTCACTAGAATCTGTAGGATACCTGCTAAGCAGAGTCAGCTACAGCCCATCACATAATGACAAGTAGATGAGTGTTGGCTATCAAAATAACAAGGCAATGTTTTCTTGCATGCCAGAAAAAGAAACACGGCAGCCAGAAATATCTCTCGTCTGATGCTCTGCTGCTACATATTAAAATGTGTCAAGGAGATAAAAATCCTCTCATTTACTTTACCTGGAAAGCTGTATTTGCCCCTGAGGGACCCGTATTCACTGATCCAAACTGATGCAACCTTCTTCCTATGTAAACAAGAAATGGGTCTCTGTCCTTTTTCCATCAGCCCTTGTTCTTCCCGTAAGACATGCTCCGTGCCCACTTTGTATATCCCTCCTGATTTCACTGGGTACACTTGACACTAGCACACACTCATCTCTAAAAATAATTTGTAGCTGACAGTTTTTATTTAAAGCCATTATAACAATGACCTCTAGCACTGCTGTAGTTAATAGCCTATAAGCATTTCCATTATAAACCCCAATTTCCAGGTGCTTCAGCATGTCTGTATAACTGTAAAACCTCTCTCTAAGGCTGAAATGTGGTGCTCAGAGCTTCTGGGAATTGGGGAAGAAATTGTTTTACAAATTTGAAACCCTAAGAGTGCAAAACGTCCAGAAGTTAATAGTTTCTGGCCTTTCTGAGATGAAAAAAAAAACCTGCTTAGTTTTATCAGCTCATGGCATACAGGCTACAAGAGGCAAACCACGTCCCCAGCTTGAAACTCCCATAATCAGGCTGCTCTCTGAAGACATTTGCTGAAAACCTAATGGGCAGAAATTCTCCATCCCTCTGGGGTGACAACAGAGAGTTTCTCTGGATGCTTGTGCTCTCTGTGTTGCCGAAATGCCCCTCTGTGGATGCACAGCCAGAGAATTCAGCCAGCTTTTCTGCAGGATTCAAGTTCAAGACTACCTGCATCTCAGCTAAGTTTGCTTTCAGAATCATTCCCATTTCCCTCTTGAAAAGTGATTTAGAAGCAGAATTTAGTACATGGCAGCACTGTAGACAATACCCCTCCGGGTAGTTCTGTCTGTGCAATCAGCATTGCAGGAGACACCAGGATGGTTTATCGGTCTTAGGCCTGCAGAAATGTCTCCAGGAATGATCCAGGTTGTTTTATAGCAAGTGCATCATCAACAAACCTGTCAGCTGAGTTCCAGCTGGAAATGTGCAGCGGTGTAAGAACCTGACACCTGCTGTGAGCATACGGACCGAGAGGGAAATTCTCATTTGGTGAAAAAATAGAGCGGACGTGATACAGTAACCACTGAGACAGAGCTACGTGATGGAGAATCACAGGAGTAAAAAACACATGAAGTCATTTGTACTGCTAATGAAACTTCATGGAGGTTTTTGTTCTGTAGCAGTGAACGTTTGGACAGTGGATGGTTTTTTCAGTCTGCATGTGCTGACATGGAAGAGTACGTGGTTATAGGAGACATTGGGCCCCAGCCTTGGTGCTGTCTTATGGACAGCTTCCCCAATAATTTCAATCCAAGTTCTAAGCACATAGTTCATGACAAGTTTGCTCAGCTAACCAGTGTGATTACGGATGCAAATTAGGTGCTCTTGTATGCTGTTCCCATAATTACCATTTTAGATTCTGTTCATCACTGACAGATGCTCCTGCAATGGCATGTATAAACTGAATGTCCTACACAAGCACAGGTCTTGCACCTAATATGTTTAGAAATGAGCAATAGCTTTTCACCTAGTTACTTAGAAGAAAGAATATTGAGATTTTCCAAATACTCCTTTGATTTCTTAGCTTAATTTCCTGAGGAAATGGTAAGGTGGATTTCCATGCTTTGTGTATGTGTGACTGTTTCTCTTCCTGCCTATCTTAAAGCTTTGGAAGATGTTTCCAGGTATTAACCATGTCTACCAATGGGATATGGGGCATCAGATGTCTTATGCTGCCATGTGCTGTGAACATCATTAGCTGGAGATGGCCTGGGAGACTCAACGTGAGATAATCCAACAGGCTTCCTGATTTATGCTGTTCATGGAACTTTGTGTTTTTAGAAATGAAGAAATGTTATTCACTTGAGATCAAGACAGAGAGAATTCTAAAGCTCTCAGCAGAGAGAAACCTTCTGAAAACCTGAGATAGCCTGTTTTGTTTTATCTTCAGTTTGCCCCCCTGGCTTCTATGGACACCACTGCAGCCAGCCCTGCCCTCAGTGCGTGCACAGCAGTGGTCCCTGTCACCACGTGTCCGGGCACTGCGACTGCTTGCCAGGATTCTTCGGCGCCCTCTGCAACCAAGGTATGGAGCCTGGGACCCCACACCCACCTTTCCTAAGTCTCTGTGTCTGTGACTCTGTAGCAAGACTGATCACAATGCGTCTGCCTTTTTTCCCTAGTTTCAGCAGTTCAGATCACAAGAAATTCTTTATTTCAGAGGCAAAATGCAAATAGGTACTTAGTCACCCTTTTGTAAATCTGATGTGATCCTGCTTTCATAAATAAAACAGGTCTGCCGCTCCGTGTTGAGATGAATATGGAATGAGACACCTGCTGTAAATACATCAGCCATCCAATGGTTTCATTTTCCTTTCTGCTAAGCCCGTCACAGCCTAAATGTTGATGACACTTCCACATGCTCTTTCAGCAGGAGCTCTGTTCCTTGAGGTGGAGGCCAACTCAGATTCACCAACCCAAAGACCGAGTTAATGCCTCAGCAATGTTAACAACACTTAGAGTGTGACTGTGGGAACAGCTGAAATCACACACACCCAAACACAGGAGTAAGGAGACAGAAGCATCAAGGGGCAGTAGAAAAGACCTCATGTTCACAGGTTAAGAGTACCCTCTGCTCTCTGTGTGTCCATCACTGCACTTTTTGCCTTTAGAAGTCAGTCCACTTCTACCCAAAAGCTCCATTTTCAGTCTTATCCTAAAGCTGCTTCCAAAATCCTTACAGTGTTCTGCAGAGCCTGAGTTGCTCCATACCTCTGGGGGTATTTTCTGCCTGCAGATTTAAAAGAGATAATTCCTAATGGCCGCTGCCCTTGTGAAGTCACCATCCCTGTAAAAATTGAACTGACACTTTCTAATGACCTGCTTTTGGGGAAGTTAGAAGTTGCAGACAGTACTTAGGCAAAGTCATTAAACAGATTAAATGTAACCATGTTTTCTTTTCCCTATGCCGTATAGTCAACTAAACATTATACCAATTAATTTATTAAAATGAACATATTTCAGTGAATTTGTCCATTTTATATGAAAAGTTAACCAGATTTCAAAGCGTAAGCAGGGCTAATTATCCTCTTAAGAAAATTCTATTTTATTTTTGCTCAGATGTTCAGCACTTCTGGTTTTACTTTGAAATGTTGATCTACCCGGCAAATTAATTTTAAAATATTCATGTCCTAATTAAAATCAATTTGTGTTGCAGTTTGTCATAATGAATTAGCATGTAACTTTATTTTGTCGAAAGAAAAATGCTAATTAATGTTTTCCATTAGAAAAACGTGAAACAAAGATTTCACTTCTGAATTTCCATCCCCTTGCGCTGTCCCTTTTCTGGCAGCAGGGATGTGACTCCAGCAGCAGCAGCACGTGCGTGCACGGAGCTTTGTAACCTCTGAAATGGCACAGGGTAACATGGTTGTACTACGGATTCAGAGCAGCACACAACTAAGCAGCTGTTTTATGAATATATTTCCCAATCATGTAGCAAGATGGATTGATAACAACGTTATCGCTGCTAGAACAATGTTATCGCTGCTAGAGCACAGCTGACATCCTACGGGGAATTGCAGTCCCACTTCAGAGCTTTTATTGCTAATTAACATCTCTGGCTGTGTCATACAATCAGATTGGTCCTGAGGAAGGCAGTATTGGTCCTTACTCTACAGCTTAGTTTAAAATGTTTGAAGCGTTTTGAGAAGTGCTTGTATTTGGGTCTCACAACTTGACAAGGGAGTCAATGTGCCAGTCCACAGCTGGGTTACTTAGCCTAATGAGAGCAGCCCCTGGGGCAGGGTAGGCTTTGTAATCCCTCTGTGTTGCCACCCTGGAGGGCTTCATGCTATTTCGCAGGACAAGGGCTGCTCACGTGGTAGGAACCCCTCTGCTGGCTCTCGCTGTGCCAGGCTGAAGCATTTCTTTATCAAGCGTGACCTGTTGGCTTTGTCAGCGTCAGTGTTTGGATCACAAACCTTTTCCTGATTCATTAACATTCTGCACTGCAGTGTAAATCAGCTCCTATTTTAAGTAAGTCTTTTGAGAACTATTTTTCGTATGTATAAAAAATCCAGGCTTCCTATAAGTGATGTTATCTATCTCCATCTTAAAGATGCAATAAAAATATTGCATTGAACTGCTCAGTATAGAGCACTGGAAGTGAATAATTGTGTAGTACATATGAATACCTGACAGATCTTTTTAGTTTCTTCTCTTTCTGTGATATGAGGCCTTTTCTTTCCTTCTTTCTCTTTGTGTCCGTGTATTGTTCATTGTGTCTTTATATTGTGTTTAGTTTTATCTCTTTTCAGGTAGAGAACTGTTCTGTTTAGCACATCATTTGAAAGCCAACTTTATCCATTCCTACAGATAAGTCTGCAGCTAGACCACGCACTGCTGTTTTCTGCACCACTCCTAGGTTTCTGTCATAGTCAGAGTGGAAGGTGGCCTATTGTATAAAAGCAAACGAGTCACAGCTCAGGATTTCAATCTGCAGCTGATTTGCAGTCAGGGTGGATTGAGGTCACCTGCAGAGACTGCATATGAGCAAGAGAGAGGGACTGAAGTGGTAAACTGGTTGCATAATTCAGGGAGTGCCTTAATCACTTTTTTGACATTGCTGTTATTTGTAAGGATAGCAGTCCAGTTCCATTTGTTACACTCTGCAGAGATGGACGGTGTGTTTTATCTCGTTTTGAAAATACATCTGTTTTTGTCAGGGAACACAGCCAATGAGAGCAGTGAAATTAAACATTTCATTCAATGCTGGGCAGAGCTTTCCATCAACTTTAATGGTAAAGATTTCCAATAATTTGGTGGGAGGCTGAAGATATACCTGTCTGTTAGTTTTATGTCACTGTGCGTAGGCTGCGACACGACGATTCTGGAAGAAAAGCAGAGTTTCTTTTCTTCCAACTTCAGCAATTAGCTGTGGGGACCGACAGCTTTGTTCTCCTCTTCCTCTCCCAATACCTGCTCCTTTCAGCGTCCTTCAATAATGATCATCTTCTGACTGTGTTAGGTTCATTTTCCGGCAGGCAAATGGATTGCAAGATGCCTTTTTCACATTGCTCTTATGCCTGGGAAATAAGCAAATGCAGTGGATGTGAATGCTTTCTTCTGCCTTCTCCTTATTTCCATAAAAAAATTTGCCCTCTTGTCTTCAGCAAATAAAAATGTCATAATTACTTTTCTCTCTAATTGCTAAATGTTGAATTCTGTGACTTCCTAATACTCATTATGAAGCCTTCATTAAACTCTTCTGTATTCCCAGTGTGTCCCAGTGGAAAATATGGGATGAACTGTGCTGAGCTCTGCCAGTGCACTGAGAACGGGACGTGCAATCCCATCGATGGATCGTGCCAGTGTTTTCCAGGCTGGATAGGGAAGGACTGCTCTCAGAGTAAGCAAAGTGTTAACTCTCCATCTCTGCTCTGAATAACATGTTTTCCTGTTTAGTGTTTTCGGAAAGTTAAAGGCAGTTTCTAGGGAAATCCCTGAAGTATTACAGCAGCCAGTGCCTTATTCTCTTTATAGCTTATTTCTTTTAATTAATCTAAGTTAGCTTTGGCTTGAATTAGTTTATATGCATTTGGAATTTGCAGAAGCAGTTACTGGCTTCTATTACAGGAAAGAGAGGTCACAAGCTCTTATCAGAAAAGAAAGCTCCACGCTCCCTTTTAATTTCTAGCTGGATTCCCTTTTATTTATTTTTTGAAATCATTTTCTTTCAGTTATTAGATTAGAAATTATTAACCAGTAAATGTTTTCATGTATCAAGCCCACAGAATTGAGAAATTAGGCAACTGAAATGTTTCTATTAAGTATAATTTAATTGTAAAAGTCAATGTGGGCTTGGTGGGATGGAGGGTTTTCTTCTCAAAAATTGCCCAGGTGGAAGATTGGCATTTGTTGGTCCCAAAGTGTCATTTCCTGAGAGCATCCCTTAATTGAAGATAGATCACAGAGGGAAGCAATATCCTATCATTCAGAAATGTTACTTCATATTCAGGATACAACTAGCATATTAGACAGCATTCCAGAGTAAAATATATTAAACTTCAAGTGATAAAGTGGGATTTGGATAAAAACAGACGGCTGTAATTTTACTTTTATTGTGTGTCTTCCACAAGCAGAATATTGCTGTCACTCAAAAGAAAAGGAAAAAAAAAAAAAGAGAAAAAAAAAAAAAGACAGAAAGCTGCACAGATTCCTCATTATGTTTAGCCATGTAATTGAGAAATGACTGTTAGTTTCTGTTAACCTTGAGAAAGGATGAGATTTTCCCTTAGGGAGGCAGGCCAGTTGAGTAGCAATGACTGCCAGTTGAGAGTCAGGAGGACGCAGGGATGGCTGCTTGGTGTTCTGGACAGGCAGAGCAGGAGCCTGGCTCTTTTCTCAGTTACCTTCCTGTAAAGAAAGGGTAAACCTCCTGGCGCAGAGCTGGCCTCACACCCGGCTCCTGGGGTCCTGGCCTGCAGCTCCGCAGCCTGGCGCTGGGCTGTGAGCGATCCCCCCTCGCAGCAGCTAACCTGGGATGACCGAGAGATGGAGCCACAAAGGAGATAATTTTAGCTCTGGCTCCAGAGCCAGTTCTGGAGACACACACAGACCCGCGGCTCTAACTTACAAAGCCTTTTCAAAAGTATTTCTGGTTGCTTATAGCACGAACACTTCAGGCCAAATCCTGCTCAGCCGTACATTGTGTGAGTGCAGCGACCTTTTGTTTGATTTACGTCATGGCAGGTTTTTTGCTATTCATTCTGGCTTTGGCTGTGTGTGTCCAGTGCCAGAAACTTGCATTTATCATCAGAATTGCAGCCAATGGCATGCGTGGAAATAGGCACCATTTCTCTACTTTCAGGTTTCCTGGGAACCATGCCTTATTAATTCATGCCTTTAATAGGCAGCAATGGAAAGTGCTTTTTAAAGCAAAAATATAGTTGTTATATTGAAGGGTTATCATCATTTTGGATCTTTTAGTCTGGCACTAATGACTGTAACTTACTGCATTCAGTTTTGGAGGGAGGCTTACAATAACTTTTGAAAATGTATTAATATTGCACTTGTAGAAATTTATAACAGACCTGGAGGTTTTAATTTAATATTGGCCCCATCAACAAAAGCAATCTGATTTTTTGTGGATGGGAATTCATACTGAAAGAAGTTTTCTCTACATCTTTACATAATTTGAGCAGTGCTCCGCGCTTCAAATGAATGTGGTAATTTTAGCAGTTGATTGCATAGCAGAAGTAAACCACGAATAGCTGTGCTTTATTATGCAAGAATTTCTGAATATCAAAAAGAAAATTAAATTACCTCCATATCTTATAAACCCTGTCTGAATTGTCTTCAGAAATAGTGCCAGTGAGGCAGGGAGCACTGCTGGAGCACTCAGCCCCATTGCAGGGTTACTCTGTGCTCACAGAGCAGACCTACATGGAGAAGAGATGCAGGGTTGGCAGTGTGGGTGAGGTTGTAGGTTTGCAGTCTGGGTTTGCAGAGCAGTTGTTGGCATGGGAGAACTGGTCATGGTGAGGGAATAGCTGCAGTGATGCCAAGTACCACGATGCGACGTTCTGCCTTTGCTGCTGTCCTGCAGGCTCTCCTTACTATTGTTCCCCCAGCACTAAAGCCATATCACTGCTGATAAATGTTTCTTATTTTCATAGCTTGCCCCCCGGGTTTTTGGGGCATGGATTGCTTTCATTCATGCAACTGCCACAACGGAGCAATATGCAGCCCTTATGATGGAGAATGCAGATGTACTCATGGTTGGACTGGGCTCTACTGCACACAGCGTAAGCCTTTCAGATGTGCATTTTTGTCAAGGAATCTGTCAAAGTGTGTGCTGCTACCTCGTGTCTCTTCCAAGAATTGCACTCTTGCTGCTATACCACCTGCTTCATGCTAGTGGATAACTTTGTGTCACTGCAAGGAAAGTGTCCTGAAGCTTCTCAAGGTTTTTTATGCCTTTGGCATGCTAAAAAATGAGGGTCTGACATTTAGGTTATTGATTCGTTGTCAGAATCTGTACAGTCCTTTTCCCTGTTTCATAAAGCCCTAAAATACATTGTCTGCTTTAGGAAAATGTTTGAGATTTCTGATCTCACCAGCACAAAATTATCAGCTCTGCACAAAAGAGGAAATCACATTCTGGTGAGCCTTCTGAGAGGGCTCTTCCACTTGCAAGTAACAACTGATCTCTGTCCTCTTACAGAGTTTCTTTCCAGCTGTCTTCTTTCACTCCTTGAAAATGTAGTTTGTGTAGATGCGTGAAGTTTTTATTCTTCTTAAGTGCTTAAAAGGCAGTTCTGGATAGGATAGGAGAAATGCTACTGCAAGAAAATTGGCTGCCATGGTAGCTTTGCATTTAGATCATCAAATACATGTTATTAGATATACAGAAGCTGAAAATCCATAGATTTATAGGCTCATTTATTTCATGCTGTTAACACATTCGCGTTTGTGTTTCAGTTCATTTCTTCATCTTTCCTTACTCTTCTTCCTGAAAGGTTGCCCAGCTGCTTTCTATGGAAAAAACTGTGCCAATGTCTGTCAGTGTCAGAACGGAGCAGACTGTGACCACGTCACTGGGCAGTGCACGTGCAGGACTGGATTCACAGGCAAACAGTGTGAGCAAAGTAAGTAGCAGCATGACTTCATTTTCCCATTTCTTGTGGGGAAGAGTTCAGAATCCTTTGCAAAAATGGGCTGTGGACTGAGGTGTGCATGTCTGTCAGCCTCAATTCAGGCACCTTGCATCATCTGTAGGGAAAGGAAGGCATCTCTGAAAAGCCAGTCGGTCTGTTTTAGGGCAGTGAAGTATGGTGAATCCACTGCAGATTGGGCCTTTCCTTTCCCAGCATGAAGTTAGGTGGGATCAAAGCCTGTCTCGCAGCCAGCACTGAGTGGAGGCAGCCTTCCCAAATCACTTTACTTGTACCTTATTGATAGGAGCCCCAAACTGCATCATGTCTTACTAACACCATTGAGCACAACAGCATTAGGTTTCCCCAGGCATGAAGGAAGACAGAAGAGTTCAGAGTCATTCCACTCTCTGACTTCCAAGGAATGTTGAGTTTTCCCTGACAAAGTTGTTACACTGTAGATGTTGACCAAATAAAGATTCATCTGTACATTGAAAACAGATCAAGGAAACAAAAGCTGCTTGTCATTTTTGGAAGGATTGCAGTTAACTTGAGTAGTGAGCAAGTGTTTAACAATGAACTTCAATTACCTTGCAGGAGTACTTGCATATCTTACAGTAATTGTTGTCAGCGTCTCGCTGGCATATTTAGCACACTGTGCCAAATGGCTTCTTTTAAGGACAAAGATTTAGGGCCGTGGAAACTCTATATGCTGCAGTTGAAAAATTACTTGTTTGTCCAGTATAGTAAATCAAAAGAAAATTTTCATGCACTTACTTGGATTCTAAATACAGGATGAAATCTATCTCACCTTACCAGGGCATTAATTCCACAGATATATTTTTTTCTTCTTTTTTTGGCAGTAGGTAATGCAATTAAACATTCCTGCTAACTTTGCAAGTCAAAGGCCTACCTCAGAGCTTCCCTGCAGCTTACTGCACAGATCTTTATGAGTGCATTAGGACATATAACTCAATTCATGAACATCTTTTCCATTTGCACATACTTAACATTCATCCAAGTGTGTGTCTCAGGATCAAATCTGCATGCTCGTGGGGATTACGGACAGCACTGCTGTAATTCTGCAAGCAGCCAACTTACTGTGAATTCGTGTGCACCTTTACCCATGAATAAATAGGGAAGTATGAAGTTTCGTAGTAGAACTGAATCACAGCAGAAGGTTTTATGCAAGAAACAACATTGCTAATTCGACCTTTCCACAAAGCTTGAGATTTTATTTTCTCTCCAAACTACTAATGCATTCAGTTATTTGCTTTTCTACTATTTAGAAGTATTAAGTATAATATCTCTGTATTAAGACTCCTTCCTTCTCAGAATCCCTGGATGGGCAGTTGCACCATGCTGCAGATGAAATGCCAAAGTGGAAACATCATTTCTGTGGTGCAGTCCAAAAGTTTAGGCTATACTCATTAGAAAGATGCAAGCTAATGTTCATCACTTCATATTAATGTTTGGTAACTGGAATTTGCTTACAGACTGGCACTGGGAAGATATTGTCACCCTGTGCAAGATGCACCCTGTGCAAATGCAGTGACACTCAAGAAACCACATGTTCTCCCAAATCATAGCAAATATGCATGCATTCCGTAATGCCTTCCCTACAGAAATAACAAGGATATGACAGAAGTTGTTTCTTTCAATTTGTTATTGAATGTTGCCTCGAGAAATTTAGTAAGCTGTCTACAGAGTTATCATAATAGCCCATCATAGTAATTGTATGAATAAATTTCTCAGTCGGACATTCAATCATTTTGTCTCTGATAGAGATACAGAAACAGGATAGAAATTCCTTCCATGTTAGGAATCCTAATGCAGAAACAGCAAATCGAATCATTCAGATGCTCAGTTCTGTAAGTCCATCTCCAATGTGATGTTAGTCTTCTAGCACTAGTGGGGATAAATATGAAAGTATGCAGAATTTGTTTGGTAAAAGTCTGCTGTGTTCATGTGAAAGTACATTAAAACTTATATTTGGAGTCCCCTCAGGAAAAGAATGTGCATATGCTATGCTCTTTCAAGATATTTTCTATAGCTTCTGAGATCATGCCCTGTTAAATTCCATACACTTGCAATATATATCAAGGCTTTTCAAGTGTGCATGTGTTGTTGGTTTCATCCTTGAGAAGTCTTGTGTGGCTTTTCCTAAAGGAAAGTTGCAGCTTAATACGTTATACCACAAATTGTACACTACATACATTTGTCTCTTGCTTCAAGTAGCAATGCAGCCTTGGGGAGTTATCCTAGTGAGACAAGGGTGATTTTCTGCTGAATTTCCATGGCGAGGATCTCACCTTCTTCCTCCAGAAAGTCAGGATTCTTTCCAATCTTTTCTTTGGCTTCCCAGAGTGCTCACCAGGAACATTTGGTTATGGTTGCAAACAACTCTGTGAGTGCATGAATAATGCTACATGTGACCATGTCACAGGTACTTGCTACTGCAGTCCGGGCTTCAAAGGAATCAGATGTGATCAAGGTACAGTGAAATTCTATCTGTAAAATCTCTCTCTCCCTCTGTCCCTCCTTGTTTTGTTTTTGTTACCAATGATGTACTTAAAAATCTCAGAAATGAATTGCGCGATTCAATTTACAGTGTGTTATGAATTACTTTCAACAGCGGCTCTTATGATGGAAGAATTAAACCCCTATACTAAAATTAGTCCAGCTCTTGGATCAGAGAGGCACTCAGTGGGAGCAATCATTGGAATTATTATTCTCCTTCTAATTATTATGGTCTTGCTGGCACTGTTTGTGTGGTATCGACGGAAACAGAAGGAGAAGGGCCATGACATGCCAAGTGTATCTTACACTCCAGCCATGAGGATGACTAATACAGATTACTCACTTTCTGGTAAGGGTCTTTTTATGTTAATCGAATACTGACTCGTATTCCTGTATGTTGGGGAAATCAAGCTCCTGTGATGTATAACATGCTACTGAGTGTCAAAAATAATGATGCTTCTATTCCTGCTCTGAATACCATGATCACTTAGCACAGACAGGAAAGCAAATACAACATAAATTGACCGAACCTGCTTCATGTATGAAAGATTACTTACAAGACAGTGGATAGACCTAGATGTGAAATATGCTGCATGGAATATGTAAAGTCCTGTTTTTCCTCTGTGAAACCTTAAGATGACTTTTTGGTGAGAATGGAGTTGACTGGATTAGTATTAAGTTTTTACTTTTGTCTGTGTTGCTGTTTCTGATTTGAGCCCTGCTATCTGTTGTCCCTTCTGGGTGCAGACCAGCCCCTGTTATTGAGACAGCTGGTGTCAATGTTCTTCCCAGGAGCTGATAAAAGCAGGAGCGAGGAAGGGGGAGGCTCTTTACGTTCAAAAAAAAAGTTGCACTGATTTATTTCTCGCTTCTTTCCATCTTCTGTTTCTGGTCTGGAGATCAGTTTATCTTAAAAGACTGGCTAAACTTCATTGCTGCCATTCTTCATTCCTCGATGGCCAATCTCAGATAGGAAGCCAGGTGGGAGGTGGTTTTGCTTCCTTCCAGTTTCCTCCAACCTGTCTCCAGTGAGGATCTGCTCAGGGCTTGCTGTCCTCTGTCTGCTCTTTGCTGCACCTCCCTTTGGATGGCTGCAAGGCTGGAATTGTAAGTCCTAGTAAATACCAGCTTCTGAAGCAGGCAGAAGTTGACCCAGCACCTCTGCTCTCGCAGCTCTGCATTGCCTTTTTCTTCCTGCTTTATAGCCAGGATGCACAAGGCCCAGCCTCTTGCCCCTGGTTTGCCCTCTGTGCTGTCCTGGAGTGGCACGGCTGCATTCTGCACCTCTCTGCCCTGGGTGCACCTGGAAGGAGACCCTCCCACCAAGCAGATGTTACTGTCTGCCAAACACTGCTGCCTAAACTCATTTTTAGATCACTCGGGTTTATACTGGAACATTCCTTCTTCTCACAGCTACAAGATGAGAGAAAAAAAAATCAGCCTTGGACCTCCTCTCATTGCCTTATTTTTGAATGTTAGCTTTGCAGGCTCTTGCTTAAGCTGCCCATTTGGGTAAGAAATTTATGAAAACGGTGCCAAAGAGGGCTCATCTGATCCCTAGCTGGTTGCCAGAATGATTTGGCCTGAAATTTATCATTTCTACATCGTTTGAAGAGCCAGACCATGAACTTGCAAAAGAGAACTGTGGCACATCTCAGCAACAGCAGGGCTCCGAGTTCCAAGAGAGCAGATCACAGCTGCTGGCACGGAAAATTGTTCTGAACTTTTCAGCCATCCATTTCGTTCACATTGGCACTTTATCCATTTATTTACAAAGCCTGTTCCACATAATTTATTTGTGAGCTCTTCTAGTCAATGGATGTGTAACCCGGCATGTTGAAGAGGCACAACTTAGAAATTTGCAAATAAGGCATATTGCTGAGGCTGGGAGTTCCTGACTGCAGTCATTGAGCTTCTCCTTCCAGACAGTGTTGTTTTTTCTCCATATTTTACCATGAATGGAGATTTCCCAATCGATCTGATGGCATCCCAGTCTCACGCTCTGCAAGAAGTCTGAAGAAAGGCAATGCTGTGAAAGGAAGTTCTCTCCCTTCAGAGTGAAGATAGACAGATGACTTTCCTCCTCAGCTACAAAGTCTTTACATTTGAAGATGCTGGTAGCCAAGCACAAAGCTTGCTGGTTATGCCTCTGTAGGCACTGTACCTCCTATATGATGTCCTTCACATTCCTTTCAGGTCTTCCTGCTGCCACACGACACTTAAGCAAAGAACACTTTGGGAATGGATGAGTTCCTGAATGCATCACAGATGTCTGAGGGACTGCATCCTGCAGCTCCACGGGGCCTGGGATCGCTTCTGGGCTCTGGGCACAGCAGTGCATTCAGTTCGTGCTCCTGTGGCAGTGCTGCTCTGTATCAGCTCAGTTTGTAAAAGTGCTGAAGTGCCAGGTTCTCTAGGAGGAAACTGGTACTGTTTCCATCGTGTTCATCTCATTCAGTGATGGGTGTGCTGAGGCTGGGCCTTTCCATTTGTCTTTGTGCAATCTATTGCTACATGCAATAGAAACTTTGTCACTCAGGAAGCTGCAGTTGAGCGGAGTCAGCCATCCATTCCTGCCTCCCCCATGACAGCCTGCTGTGTTTCTTGCAGAGGAAGACTGAGAAGTTAGAAGCCATGCTGCATCTTCATCTCATTATAACATGCCTACAGGTTTCGCACTGTTTCTAGTTTTCATCTTTCAGGAGGAGATTTACGGATTCTGCACAAACTCCTGGCCAAATTCTGACACTGCTCCAGTGGCTCTACAAAAATTCCTACCCATCGGGCACCTTCCCAGCTTTGGCCTTGCCAGTGCTGTTTTCAGCCTTTCACTTCCATAGAGCAGAAAATTGGATGAAAACTGAGACAAGATCACAGATAAAAAATAGAGACCTGTAGCATGGCTGGATGGCAAGAACATGTGTGTGGGTATGCACGTGGTTTTGTGCATTGCAGAGGACACTGAAGGAGAGTAGCAGCATTGCATGGACACATCAGAGATTTTTGCCTGGAGTCTCATGTGTGGATTAAGGACAGAATGAATACACTGCACTCTTATGCAGTGAATATGATCTTTTGCAAACCTATGGACTTTGGCAGGAATTCCTCCTGAGCAGTGATTGCAGAATCCAGCCCCACTTGGATCTGTGGTTAACCTGACCCACCACTGCTGTTGTGTGAGTGGTGGTGGTGTTGTCATAGAGAATCATACGTGCAGATCAGTAGCTCCTGGAGGATGTATCAAGATATGTAATCAATAACTTGTGTCTGCAGTACATTTTGGGTCTTTGTGTCTTTAGCTCTTCAGATGCTGATAATGCATGCATGTGTGAGGCAGATTATAGGAAAGGAAAAGCCCTGGGCAGCCCTCTGACCATTCAGTATTTGGGGATGAAGGGTATGGCAGCAGAACACACCTAACAGCTACTGGTGGGAAGGAGAACCACCCATGTTGGGAAGCTGACCCACAGCACCTGGATCTAAGAGCAGGCTGTCCCCAGTAAGCCTGAAAGCAAAACAGTGCTCCCAGCATGGGAATGATATATTGCATCCAATAGAGGATTTTAAAGCATGGATCGTTAATTCAAGGACGTAGGGACAGAAGGGAAAATGATGCAGTAGTGCTGGAGAGCAGCAGAGATTTCTTCTCAGGACTTGCACAGAGATGTGATTATAGGCTGAAGTGATGCTGGAGGTCTTCTCAGAGTCATAACAGACTTTATGATAGGGGCGAATCCTATGCTGAGAGCCAAAAACTGAGCAAAGCTCAATACAAATACAGCATCCTGAGCCTTCAGCTGCCCCACTGACACTCAGTGAGTGGAGAAGATCCACACAAAAAACCAACTGAGGGGAAGGAAGAAGAAAGCAATGCCATTTTGCAGCTCGAGCTCTCTGTTCTATGTACTGCAGAGTGCTCACTCCCCGTTTCCATGCCCCCCTGTCCTCTCACTGCAGGATGTGGATCATTGCTCTCTGTGTCACCGCACAGCCGTGGCTCGCAGCCCTTCAAGGGATGGAGCATTCTGGCTCCCATCCAGATCTCTGTGCCTTCCAGCACTGCACAGCCGGGGCTCACAGTGGGACTGTGCCTTCATGGGGCCCTGCATAGGACAGATCTCTCCATGCTAACATTGACATAACCTTTGGGGCTGGTTTTATTTTGTTTTCATTTAAATTGGTTTTTTGTTTGTTTGTTTGTTTGTTGTCTTCTTAGCCATTTAAGTCTATGCACTGTTCAGAGTAGAATGAAATTCTCATCTTTGGGAAGAGGTTTTTTCTTTTCTTTCTTTCTTTCTTTTCTTTTCTTTTTTTTTTTTTTTTTTTTTTTTCCTGGGATAGCATTAGATTTGAATTTGATGTATTTTCAGGCAGCGGTCGTAAGAGCTTCATGAATAAATGTGTAGAAAATGGACTGTGCTATCAAGGTAAATCAACCTGTGTGGGTACTTAAGTATCAGCCAAATGGAACTGTGTAGAAGGAGTAATTCTGAGTATATGGGGCTGCATGCAATGAAGGAAGACAAGATTTCTGGTGATGCAGACTTGTGTACGAGCTCAGATTCATTAATTCAGCACAGTGCTAAGTAGCAGGGCAGTCTGGGAGACTTTTCCTTCAGCTCATTTCGGGTACACAAGCGCTATGGCCAGATAAGCTGGGTGTGAACTTGTAAGGCATCAGCTGCCTCAGCAGCATCAGTGTGCACCTCTTATCTGGCAGCAGAGCAGCGAGCCAGACCTCCTCTTCAGGCTGATCCTTGCAGCTGAGAGAGGGCACAGCAGATAAGGGAAGGGGAAGGCAGCGCTGGGAGCTCAGGCACAAACACTCACCTGCAGAGCAGAAAACCGTGGGTTGGAGCTGTGCTCCCCGGTGAGCAGTCAGCACCTCACGGCAGGCCGAAGGCTGTGTGAGCAGCTGTCTTTGGGACCCAGACCCAGCCCTCATTTGCAGACCCCCAGCAGCAGTTGTTTGTGTGTAACTCTATTGCAAATGTCACGGAGTTATGGCTGGGGGAGGTGGCAGAGCCCTGGCAGGCTGCCTCATCTCCCCAGCTGCTGCGCTGGGCAGAAAGTTATTGGTGGCAAGCTGAAAGAATCTACGTGAAAATGCTTGAGTCCTGGAAGCATGTGCTGATCTGAGAGCCTTAGCTGGCAATATCCTCAGAACACAACCAGGAACAAAAGGTTTTGCAGTGACCTCAAAAATCACACTGCATGTTCCAGCAGAAAGATGCTGGGTCAGATTTGCACGCACACGTGCAGGTCCCTCCCCCAGCTTTGTGCCACTGCACTTACATAATAGACACCCTGCAGCTAAAACCTCTTATTTGAAATGGGATATTTCACTGTAAATTAAGCTAAATCGAGATCTCCACCAGATGTCAGCAAAGCGAAGTGCACGGCCACAGGAATGCAAATACAGAATGAGAGGAGCAGAGGAGGCAGCTCCTGCAGGCAGGACCCTTCCCCACCACTTCCTTGGGCAGCTGCCCTCTGCGTCTGCACGTCTTTCTGACCTCCCTCCTGCCATTGAAGCCCTGCTCGTTAAAACTAACCCACGTATTTACTTCTTACAGGGCGTGGTGATGATGTGGTTTTGTTTGCATTTTTCACTCTTTCTTCTGGCGCAGCTTTGAAATATGTGTCTGTTTGTTGTCATGCTGAAGCCAGCCTGGCAGCGATGCTTTCTTTAGAACCACCTGTGGAGATATGCTGTGTTTCCTGGTAAACTTTTTTGTTTGGTAAATGTGTTGCTGAGTTGAAGAAAGGAAATAGCTGAGGAGGTCTGTGTGTCACAGTGTAACTGCCCAACTTTTTCTCTGTGCCTTTGCACAACAAGCTACAGAAAGTGGTTTTGACTTCTTGGTACAGCTAGAGCACCTTGATTTATGACACCCTGGAACAAAAAGTTCTGCTTCATAGCTAAAAGGGTTATCATCACCAGTGGCTTCTACATGTGCTTAAACCAGGCAAGAAGCTGCTGTAAACCACCATTCGCTGAGCTTTGCATTTCTTCCCTTCCCCACAGCACAGGGCACAGGTGGATTGTCAGGAATTTTTCTTTCTTTCTTTAAGTTCTTCAAAAAGACAGCGCTGTGCCAGATAATTATGTTGCTTTTTTATCTTATACTAGATGCTAATACTCAAACACTTCACCCCATGATGTGCAGAATACGTTTCACCTGGAGATGCCGCATTGCACACAGCATTCATGGGGTTTCTCAACTTCATTGTCTCTCGTATGTTTTCAGTTTCTGAAGAATCGTTACAGCTTCCAAAGTGTTTGTGATGCTTGTTTTCTTCCCAGATGTATCTCAAGGTAGCAGCAGTGTGCATTGCTTTTCCAACCCAAGCTACCACACTCTCTCGTGCGGTGTGACTTCACGCTTCTTTCCCCGTAATCTGGATGGGAGCAGCTCCAGTAAGGTAGATATGATCCCACCCCACTGCAGCACTGTTCTTATCAGTTCAAGGAAATAAAGCAAAGCAATGCCTGCTGGATCCTGACATGGTGGCTCTGATGGACACAGCAGGGTCTGCCTTTCCTGCGTGTCTGTGTAATCTCTGTGCCCTCTGATGGGAGCGTCAGCCCGTGGTCAATAAGCCTTGCTGCTTAAGCAGCTATAGGCTATGTTTGCATCTCAGAAAAGATAAAGAACCAGATAATCGTGATTCTTCATTAATATAATGAAAGTAAATCAATGGAGCATTAAGTCAGGAGTCTAACTTGGATAAATCGTCGTTTTCCAAATCAGCAGACACACAGATTTGTTGGCACAGAGAGATACAGAAGGTGCTGGGGGTGAGCACTGTTTTCATCCAGGGTGCTCAGAGCTGTGCTGTCCCTGAGCTCTTCAGATTGGAAATCTCAGACATCCAGGAGGACATCTCTGCGTGTTGCTATTGATTCCCTGGGACCACTCATGGACTACACTGAATTCACCACTTCAGCAATAGACTGAGATGTGATAAATAGTAAGGCAGCTCTTCCATTGGAGACTTAATAAGCCAAGGTGATGCAAAGGATAGGGAGCAGAAGAAAAAAGAAATGCAGTTGATTTCATTAAGGCTGCAGCTTTAAAAATGACGGTGCTTGCTGGCTGCATTGGCTTCATCCAAATGTAGCTGTGGTCGCTGGGAAGCCACGAGAACAAAACTGGTGCCAAAAAGACACCACGTAATGAAACAGGCTATGCAAGAATATTTCCACTCGTGCTCCTGTTGGACATTTCTTGGTTCTAAAAAAACCAATCTCATTAAACTGTAATAACAAAGCTGGCTCTAGAGATTTCACAGAGGAAAGTTTAGACAGATGTGTAAATATGTTTTCTGAGGTGGATGGTCCCCTTGCATCGTGCAGCTTTGCTCCCCTAGTTGGAAGTGCAAATGCTCATAATGTCAGATTCAGGATGAACACCATGAGTGTGGAGTTGGACCTCTAATCCTACTGCACTAATTTCAGTGAATTTGGAAAAGGTCAAAGCAAGCACCTATCTCGATTTCCCAGCCTGCAGCGCTATCTGATCACAGAGCAACTTCAAGTATTTAGCTGCCAAAGAGGTATGAAACCCACTGGTACACCTGGACAGGTGTGAAAGCTGCCCGCCTTGCGGCAGCGCTGCCTCTCGTAGTTGATCAGCAGGTTGTCCTGGCATTGAAAAAGAAGGAAAAAAATGGGTCTGGTATTTTTAGGGCACTTATCAAAATATATACCCTGACTGTTCCTTTACATCACCCAGCATCTAACTTATTCATGAGAAAGCTTTGCAGTGCTGAGTAGCTGAGGATGGCCAAAAATACGCAGCTCCTGTCTTGCTGTTCTCCAGCCAAGTAAGACAAAAGAGCATATAAAGCCCCTAATGGCTGCAGTAACGAGTTTCATTTCCTAATCAGTTTGTCTGGTGCCATTTCCACTTTCTGCAGGGAAATGTGCACAAGCTGTACTTGGAGGATTCATTTCTTTCCTGTGCCAGCTGAGGTCACACAGGAACCAGCGCAGATGCAAAATGAAAAAAAAAAATGGCAGAGGAATCCTCTGAAGTGCTGCGGCAGAGTCCTGGGTGTGCTCTCCTCCCTGTGCTTAGAGGACCACCTTTCTGCTTTCCATCCTGCTGCCCAGCCCAGCTCAGCAAGGCAGCAGGACACCCTGCACAGCCCCTCTAGGCTGGAAAGGTCTCACCTCCATTTCCCCTCTGCCAGACAGTTGGCCACTGCTTGGGATGCTGCCCATGTCCTTACAGTAAAACTTAAAGCTGCTGAGACAAGTAGGAGCAGAGGTGTTGGAGAGTGTGCAGGGGAGTGCTGGTGCTGGAACACATGCAGGCAAAAGCAGGTGGGAGGATAAGGGGGAGCGTATGAAGAGAGACTTCTTTTATCTAGCAAAATGAGTGCTGAGAGGGAGTGTGATCGCCATCTATAAATACATAGGGTAAACAGTAGGAGGGAGAAGAGCTATTTAAGTTAGATAGCAGAGTTGGCACAAGAACAAATGAGGATCAACTGGCCATGAATGCATCAAGGCTGGGAGTGAGATTTCTAACATCAGATCAGTGAGATTTTGGAACAGCTTCCCAGTAAAGGACAAAGAAACCTGTTAAAATGGAGCTTGATGTGTTATCTAAGTAATTACTTGCGAGGATGTCTGCAGTGAAAGGCAGCCAGGCTCAGGTGCCCAGTGATCAAAGCTGTTCCATAACATAAAGTCGGGGGCTGGGCTGTGTCACGGCCTGAGGAGGAGGAGGAGAGGCTCCTGCATCCCAGTGCAGATAGGACAAGGATGCTGCTGTGCAGCTGTGCCAAGAGCAGATGAGGTGTGCTCACCTCAGCGTTTCACTGAGCTCTTAATTCCACCCTACCCAATGAGAAGAACAGCCAGAGCCCAGGTGTTGCTGGCTTCTAGAGACATCGTAAAAATCAATTGCTATTAGGTGTCCTGAGCAGAATTTTTAAAGCCAACAGATTCACATCTATTAAAGGAAGTTCTAAACACTACCAAAGACTTCACATAAAATTAGAAAGAGCACAACAGAGGTCGCTGGAAATGGACTTACTGGTTATCACCCAACTGGTAATGAACTCAGCCGCCAGAAGCGTTGCAAAGTAGCTCTGACTGAAACCCATCAGGGAAAGACGACTGCAAACAGTTGGGGAAGGCCCTCTAAGGCTGAGAAACACAGACACCTGCAGCCAATCATTGGCAGCTGATGGAAAGCACTCACCAGCTGCTTTTTGGGAAGATACCATGGCGTGGGTGCCCGCAATTATTTGCTTAATTACTGTAGATTCCTTAGAAAAGCTGAGTGTGGACAAATAGTATTCAGCTCCTTTCTGTGATCTATCCAGCCAGCTCTGAGGCACAGATAACAGCTCTGCTTTACTCCTGTAAGTATCCCATGGATCTAATGGAAGATTTATAAGGTATGAGGTAGTTTTAACCAAGTTGCTAAAGTTACATGCTTGGGTTTTTAGTGGGCAAATTTACTATGAAATGTTTTTTTTCCTCTAGGAAAGTAATTTTGGTTCACAAATTGAAGTCTCTTCCATCTTGGGAAAAAATGTTAGCAAATTATAGCGTGCTAAGAACTGATAGGAGCACAAAGAGACGGCTATAATCACATTTCTTCATAATTACTGCATTCTGAAAAACTTAGAAGTGTCCCCAGATCATTTCATTAAAAAAAAATCAATTCTAGCCCATAGCTCTTCATGCCAAATTCTGGGTTTGTGAGCTGATTTATAAACCCTGTGCAAACAAGGCTTTTAATAGAAACTTGAAGACTTTAATAAATGTGATCTAAATGGTGCAGCTGGAATGAAAGTTGGCATTCATGTGATTGCTGCAAGTTCCAAAACGAAGAGGAAAAGCCGTGGGCTCTGTAGCTGAGGGCTTCACGCTATGCAAGCACAGGCTGGCAGTACTGCTTCCTGCCCTGTGCTCTGCTGCTGTCTGTGCCTTCTTGTCTGTGTTCCTTTGCCCTCGCTGGGGAGCACCTGGAGCAAGGTTGGGCTGCTGCTGCTTGCAGGCAGTGATTGTACCAGCAGTGCTGCAGGTTACTGCAGTGGGCTGTTTGATGTGAGGTGGGCTCAGAGGGTCCTGCTGTGAGTGTCTGCCTTCGGTCCCACACAGCACCCAGGGGCTCAGCAGCTGTGTCCTTGCTGGCCTTTGGATGGCACTGAGCTGTGCGCTGTTCAGACCCCGTGGGCTGGTAGGAATCTGTCTTTGTATGTGTAAATACACGTGTGTGTGGTTGGAGTATTCACCCCATTGTGTGTCCTGAACCTTTGTCCTGGCTGCAGGGCAGCCCACCTGGAGCACAGTTATGTGCTTCCCAAATGATAGAACTGATTTTTGCAAAAGTTTCAGCTGAATAGCTCCCAGCACGCTGTGCACTTGCTCACAGGGAGCCCCAACACGCAGTGTGTGTGTGTGTGTGTGTGTGTGTGTGTGTGTGTGTGCATTCACACCATCTGTCCCTGCTGTCTCCTGTGTCTGTGCAGTGGTTTCTGCCATGCCTGCACAACTCGGTGTGTATTACACATGCTGTGAACGCACGTCAGGCTGCTTTCTGCAACCAGAATTCAGTCAGCAGGGTCAGGCTTTCACCTCTGGTTGCTACAAATCTTCTTGCTAATGAAACTCAGTTTCTGAGATAGGATAAAAGCTTCAAAATGCCAGTGTGCAGTTTGTTTTATATATATATATAAACTTATATATTATATAAAGTCTTGTTGTCCTAAATGTGGTGCTCCTGGTGGAGCAGAGCATTTGCAGGTGCTTTCCCTGGTGATAAAGGAAAGGCTGCAGGGCTTTGCAGGTTCATCCTCAGCAGAACCTCACAGATGGATGTTGGGCTGAGCAGGGCCTGCCAGTCCTGGTGCCCCTCAGTATTGATAGAGGAACTCATTGGGAGGCCCTCAGCACATCACTGCCTGAATCCTGGGGCTGACAGCAGCCATTTCTCCTCGTGCATTGCAGCACATTGCCCTGCACTGGGGTGGCTGCAGGCAGGGCTGTGCAGGTGGGTGATGCTTGCTCTGGGGGCAGTGGGTGCTGGGTGCCAGCTGGGATTTCGTCTTGCAGTAGATGTCAAAACATCAGCGGTATTTTTTTTTTTTTTTTGTCCCAGGTCTTAAAGCTCAGTATGAAAGCTAAGCAGAAATTAATGAGAGATCAGGAAAAATGAAATGCTGTGGAAAGCAATGAGGGCTCGTGACTTCAGCTCTTCAGAAGAGGGCTGGGACCTGCCCTTGAACTGACACTTCCTGAGCTGTAGTTTCACAGGGGTGGCTTTCAAGGGAAAGAGTTTGAGGTGAAACGCAGCAGCTTCAGCAGCTGCAAGGATTCACAGCCCCTCATTGCTGGGATTCGCACAACCCAAAGCGCTGTACTCTTGCAGAGGTCCCACAGGAGCACTCACTGCCTTCATGGCTGTGCAGAATCCCCCATCCCTCAGGCAGGCACGGTGTGCACCCTCAGCATTGTGTTTAAGCATGACCTGAAGTGAGACTCCTGCAGGAAAATCAAGGCTGTACTGACACATCCCGAGCCCTGCAGCAGCTCCTGCAGCCAGCACCACCTCGCCGTGCCCATCCTGCCTGGCTGCCAGCTGGGCACACGTTGTGCCGCTGTTATTTTCCTTGAATTGAGAGGAATCTGCTAGCTGTTGTTTCTCTTGTAACTGAGTACACAGATGTATTACAGTCCCAGCGCCTGCCTGCATGCTGTGTTGGTGGTTTGGTGCATCCATCTCCATCTGTTGTTCTGGGGCTGCCCGCATGTCGCTCCATGTGCACAGGTACCTGTGTGATCTGTGGCTCCCCGAGGAAGCCCCGTGTTTTCCAGCATGCTGTGTTCATTGCCTGGTGAAGTGACTTTCCTTTGTGATTTTCCCTAATGCTAGTGAGCAACTATCAAACTTCATATAGATAAGGATCTGAAATGGTGAGGCCAGGGCAACGTCCGTCTCCCATTTAGATTTGTGACATCAGTGCGCTGAAGTCTTGGGTAGGAACTGTGTGTTGATTTCAGCATTAACTCATTATCGTACTTTTTGAACAGCTGAGTAACAAAATCCTTGACAGAGAAACTGCAGACTGGAGACCCTACAGCTATCTGAATGAACTAGGTCAGTAATTTTTAAACAACTTAATCATTGTAGATGGCTTCAGAGCAACACCAAACCCAATCAGCCGTTCATGAGGACGTTGACAATAATGAAAAATACTGGTGTTGTCTGTATTTCAATACCAGAATTGCCAGTACTGAAAAATTGAGATTTGAACATTGTTTTCTTTACCACAAACCATGGATTGGGAAAGCAGAGTCGATATTCACTCTCATCTCCCTTCCCAGGTTGAATTGCTGTCTATCTGCTCTATAAATGTGTTTTTAAGGAGTGAAGTCCAATTGCCCTGAGTTTGCTCTCCCTGCCCTCCCTTTCAAATGGGGATTTCAGCAGCTCTTATCCCAAAACCTATCTAAAGGTAGTGCTTTGGATGCTGTTTTCCTGTCTGAGCCCTTGAAATTTAGTTTGTCTTTGACAAAAAAGCGCTTGCCCTCTCCTTTACTGATTGCTAAAATCTTACTGGGAATGCACAGTATGAGGGAAAATGCAGGATTAAATGGTATTATGGGATTTTTAAGGCCATCTATCTCAGCTCACGAGGCAGAGGCACTCACATCAGTTCATCACATCGTGTCGCTGCTCTGTGGCCATGCACCGTGCGCTGCCCAAAGAGCAGCATTTCCCTGCATCAGGAAAATCACAAAGCTGTCGAGCTTCAGTGCAAAGCCTTTTCCATTGCTATCATTCATTAATGTTTTCTTCTTTCTAATAGCCTGCAGAACCGCTGCTGTGCTTATCTGTTTGTAGCATGGGGAGCTGGGGGTGGTGAGGACTTCCACGTGTTCCTCCAATCAGTTTTTCTTCTGCCATCTTCCTGCTTTTCTCACTGGCTTTATTTATCTTTATCTAGCTGTGTCCTGCACTCTGAGTGCTGCATTTGTCCTCCATCCCTGTGCTTTTTCAATAGCAGATGTGATGCTAAATGCTCTTGCAGTAAGAACAACATAGAGGTGATAAATAGTTAAGTGACCTACAGCAAAAAAAAAAAAGTCACAATTTTTTCCATGGCATTTTTGCAACCCAAGTATGTTATTTTGGTATACTTTCTTCCATTTTTTTCTTCACAAAAATGTCTGTTTTCCATTAATTGATAAAAATGATAATTCTTTTCCCTTTCAGTATCAGAATTTGTTTGCTTATGCTACATTTTATAGCATTGAGTTCTTGTTCAGAGCAGAACCATTTTTGCATGAAATTGTAAAATAATGCATTTTCATCTTGTGCTGTTGCTTCTGTGCAGTAGAAATGGCAGATTTCATTTGTGTGCAATTTTCAGATGAGAGTGGAAAAACTTATATTCTGTGTTTATAATTCCAAATATAAGAGAAGCCTAATGAAGTCAAATAGGAGATCTTGGCAGCTTTAAGCCACATCATGTGCAGTTGTACCAAAAACTCATCCCACCATCAGCGTGTACTGCACAGATGCTCCAGATCACATTTGGAATAGCAGGCAGGCATTGTGCATTGCTGAATTTGGTTGAAATAGGTGTTTTGTTTTTGTTTTTACCTCTGAAATGCATTTCTGACCAAACACTGTGCTCAGGGCTGGGTGCAGCCCTGACCTGCCCAGAATGACACCACCTGTATTTTGGGCTCCCTTGTACAACCACTTTCCAAAGGACATGGCTGTGCTCATGCTGCACGTAAGGACGCAGGGACTACATTGATGGGAAGAACTTTGCTTCTCAGTACCATGCTGGATCCGGGCTTGGGCTTCCCTTTGATCTCACAGCTCAGGGAGAGCAGGAGGAGCTGCTGCTCCCAAGGAGAAATCGCTGCCTTGTTCAGGAGAAGCCAGGACCCCATTTGGTGCAGCAGCAGCAGGCAGCTACCGATCAGCTGAGAGGTGCTCTTTTCTGCATGCTGTGCACTGAAATGCCTCATTTCCAAGTAATGCTACTATATCCGTGTGTAAGAGGACCAAAGCAATGCTCTCTGGAAATGCTGTGTACTTCTCATTTGCCTGTGTAAGGGCAGTCACACAGATAAAGGGGACAGGGGTGCTTTAATTAACCCCTCTCTGCTCTCTTCCCTCTCATAGGCTGCAGTTTTACCGCTTTGGAAAACACCTTCTGATTGTTCAGTTTGCATCATTGGCCTTTGCTGAGCCAGGGGTCATTCCCTGAGTTTTTAATTGTGGAGGAAAAGAGAGAGAGTAGTGAGTGGGCTTGGGGCCAAAGGAACAACTCAGGATCCAGTGCTGTTCCTGCCTAAGTCATCCTGTGTTCCCTGTGACAGCAACGGAGCACAGCAGGCAGAAATTGTGTAGAAAAACAGGAGTCTTATGTATGCGTATGCAAGTCTATGCATACATGCTATATATAAGTATATGTATGTGCAGATATATCCACTGTGCATCCCTATCAGTGGACTTTATCAGTCTGCAGGAGTTCTGTCTCGGTTCTGCAGAGCTTCACTCACCAGGCTTGCATTCTTTACAGCCAGGAGATGTGAGGAGCAGACCAAAGTCTGTATTTTTACTGCTGGCACATTTGCTAATGAGCTTCAAATATCAACTTGTCAGGCTTTTTCAGTGAGATAATTTTATCAGTTAAGTGGAGCTGGAGTCTTGTGATGAGCACATTTCTGACCTGACTCGCTGTGTGCCCGCAGCTCTCGTGGATGTGTGCCTAGAGCTCAGTGCTGGGAGACTCAGTGGTGCCAAGGAGAAGCAGCTCTGTCACCTCTGCTTTGTGTCGCTGCTGTTTAATGCAGTCCAGTCCTACTAGTTTCAAGGAACGGCTTGTCTGCATTTTCTCTTTGCTGTCTCTTGTTGCAGAACTGGAATTATTTGCCCCACGGTTAATCTCCTCTTCCCAGAGTCCAGTCTGCATTAAGCAATTGAGGCGTCCAGCTTCCAGCTCCTGTTTCCAAGCAAGTCGAAAGTCTTAAAACATCTACAGGGCTTAGGAAAGGTGGTTATGCTCATTAGCTCATGTGTTGGATGCAGTGGGCTGCAGACAGAAATGGTTTTTGTGGTGTTTTTTAACAGTAGCCCACAGTGCAGACACTGAACGTGTGATTTGCTGCACATCTGAAGTGACTCAAGCTGCGTGTATTCCGAGGACCAAAGCCACAACATGACTCAGAGCTGACTCTGCATTTTCTCTAAGCTGTGAGGTGTGGAAGAATATTTCCAGACAGGACTCTGATTTCAGCCCAGCACGCAGTTTAGCTTCAGACTTAATCCTAAGCCTTCCTATGTTCCAGATTCCTCTTTTGTTTAGGTCTTTTCCACGTTCATTACTTCTGCACTTTACAAAATAAGGTATCCATTGTTCACTTGAAGAATGCAGCGAGTACACAAAGATGGGTTACGAGAAGCACAAGCAATGATTACAGGCAGATGTAAAGGGAAGAAGCCAAGAAGATTGGCGGGGTCCTGCAGCCAACCCAGTGCAGCACCAATTCTACATGCACCTTTCCCAGCATGTGTGTGCTTATTTTCTACTGCTGCGCTGGAGCAAATGAGAGCTGAGCAGAAGCATCGCAGTGTGCTGTTGTGCTGCTCGCTGCAGACAAGTACTGCTGTTCCCCAGCTCTGAACCAGAAGCCAGCTGTGCTCAGATCAGCCCGGTGTTACTGCAGCAGCCCTCCTCCTCATGGGGTCTCACAGCAGTGTGTGTGTGCAGCACAGTGACCTCTGCTGCTGCAGAAGTCCAGCTGGTGCCTGCCATTTCCAGCACAACTCAGAGTGGATGATCAGAGTTGGTGAACTTTGTGCTGAAGGTGGCATTCTTCTCCTCTGAGCCATCAGGTTCTCACCGTACTGCTGCTTCCTCACTGCCCCGAGGCTCCATCCGTCAGTGTCTTGATGGTCGCAAAGGAAACGTGTCTGTAAAGATCTGACAAGGATGCTCAGGTCGAGTGGTTCTCATACATGGAGTGGACAAGTTGCAGCCTGTGTGGTCCTTGCTCTAACCGTGGGTATCTTCCCATTAATCCCCCAAGGACAGCTAGCTGGGAAACTCTGGGACGCGCTGGTTGGAGGCTCTTTTACCAGTGTAACTGCACTGCTGGACTGGGATTCTATCAGCCACAAAGGCAACCAAATTCGTGTTGATTTTGCTAATCAGTGAGGAATACTGGACTCTAAAAAGAATTAAAGGGCTTACATTAGCTTTTCCTTTGAACTGATGGATGTTCAGGATAAATGTCAGTAGTGAAAACAGAAGGTTCCCACCCCCTTCTACCTCTGCAAGCACTAACAAGTTCTTGTGGAATCATGTAAGGTGGAAGTCTTTGCTTTCAGCTCTCCGCTCGGTTCTGCATTTTCAGGCTGCTGTTGTCACTTAGGAGCTGTTGTCACAGCTGATGCTAAACCTTGCAAATTTATAACAAAGTCATATAAAATAATTCAGAAAGATGGTACACAGCTGAGAGTCTTAGATTTTGAATTAAATAACGTATTATAGAAGTAAAAGTAAGCTAAAAATTAGAAAGTAATGTAACATGACTTGCAGGCTCAGATTTGAAAGACTTTCTTTTAGGCTCCCTTTATCCATCTAACCTAGTGTTTCAGTAATGAATATATGGGTTTTTTTTTCCTGTTCTCCTGATGAATAGCAGTTCTTGGTAATGAGCAGTACCCTGTTTCAGGAAGGCCTTGTCTCCAGAGAAGCTCTTAAGCATATGCATAATTTTAGGCATGCACAGAATCCCCACTGAAGCTGAGTGCGTGCTTTCTGCTGAGGATGTGCTTAAGAGCCTCCCTAAACGAGGGCCTTGATGTACAATTTAGAAGACAGACTATATGCTGCTCAGTAGTCAAAGCAATCCAATTTACATAAATATTTATTTCTTTTCCATTATATATCATTTTTATGCAGGTGCTTGTGGGATGGATAGACGTCAGAACACATACATAATGGAAAAAAGCTTCAAAGGTATGGTATCCAGTGCCTGCAGCCACCCTGGCAAAGAGTTTGAGAAGGGTGTCATAGAAGAGGTGAGATAGGAGATCTGGGCGCCCGGGTGAGCGGCCGTGCAGAGGCAGAGAGGGATAGAGCAATTACCCACAGCATGTGCCCACGTGGCTGTCTGCTATCTGAGTTATGGATGTGAGTCTTTGCCAGGATGGGGACTCCTGCCCTGGCAAAGCAGCTTAGGAAACAAGGCAGGTTTGCTGCGGGAACAGGATGTGCCAGGTGGAGGGGAAGCTCTTCTAGGACCCAGCAGCCATCCTACAGGCTTCCTGGTGGTGGTTGCTGCTGATGGACTGGTGTGTTGGTCTGCTAGGTTGCAGCTCCATAAGGCTCTCAGCTGTCTAGAGAAACAGCTGACCCTGCTATATGGCCTTTGCAGAGATTTATAGCAGAGCCTGAGAAAAGGCCTCACTCGGTGCATTAACCAGTCACACTGGCACGAAGCAATTAATGGGCTCTGACTCTAGGGCTGTTCTAAAAAGGGATTGTGTGTGAGTCATGTAGAAAGGCCCAGTGACTTTAGATTTTGGTTGTCCTTCAGACTTGCATTCAAAATATTCAGCTGTGCATGAACTACAACGCTTGGCACAGCGTGGGCTGCAAGTACCTCTGCTCCTGCCCTGTGCTTCAGGTTGGGTCCTGGCCTGGTTGCCTGATTCCAGTCAGCTAGGCTCAGCCAGGCCCAGCTCATCGCTCCAAGGGGCTGAGCTGCCACAGGGCAAAGCCTGTATCTGCACTGACAGTAATGCTGCTGAATTCGAAGCTGGTAGAGGCAGTGATGGACACTGACAGCCAGGCCTGGGAGCACTGAGCGCCTTGAGGCTGCCCTCTATAAAATAAGGCGATGTAATATTTAGTAGAATGGGGCTTTACAATACACTGAAAGCAACCAATGCTCCATGGGCAAGTCTTCCTTGACAAAGCTAAATTCAAAATATTAAGAGGGTTATACGTATGTATCCAGCTCAGTCCACTCATTTCAGCTACTTCTGAAAAAAGGAAAATTCTTATAGCATAGTTAGTTGTTCTCTTTACAGGGAACTATTAATTTCAAGATTAGTATAAACTAAATTACTGTACTTAGAAGGTTAGAAAGCTGCTTTGAACAGTCAGACATCCCACCTAGGGCACAGTGATGCAGAGGGGATGTATCCATGTGACAGAGGAAAGTACACTGGGAGTGAGCTGTGAAATGCAATTTCTACTGTGACATACTGTGTTTATTATCCAGGATCTGAGCAGTTTTCTTTCCATGTCTGTCTCCTTAATGAATTCAGAACACAGGACCAGAAGCCATGTCAGAAAGGCTGGTGGGCTCTTAGGGCAGCAGGGCAGGCATGGCGTGGTGCAGGGACCCCTAGGGATAGCGAAGGGCTGGGAGCCACGTGCCCACCCCATGCCTGGTGCCGTGGTGTGACAGCAGCTGAGCTGTCGCTGCGTTTTGAGAGCAGTTTCTTCCCTGTGTGTGCTGCCCAGTGCTACCATTTCCAGCTGTTCTTTACAGCTGAGTCCTTTTCAGTCATTTATTTATTTATTTTATCATGAATGCTGATGCACTGGTGGGATAATGTGACCTCAGGCACTGGCATTTTAAGGAAGTAAGTTCCTTTTGCGTGATTCCCAGTGAAACCCCAGCAGTTTGGATCACTGATGCATGCAGAGGCTCGGGGCATCACTTAGTGTGGGTTGTTTGCTTGTTGTATGGGAACACAACTGTGTCATGCTCACCTGAAGCAGAGCTCTCTCTGCGTTGCTGTCCTGGCAGCAGTGAGGTTAGCCAGAGAAATGGAAGGAGCCATAAATGTGATTGAATAGTAGGAGAGTGTGTTTTACCTGTGTACATCATATGTCCTTAGCACTTTGAACATGAAAGTAGGTATCAGGCTTGTCATTAGTATGAGAGCAGAACAGAGTAAACCAGTCTATGGGAGGGACATGTAGATGCCGAATCCCCAGTGACAAAAATAAAATCTCCTTGAAAGGTGTGTGATGGGTATGCAGGCAACACAAAGATGGGACCACAAAGCCAAAGGAACCCTTTCCCCTGCAGCAGGCAGGGTGCTGAGCTGGAGATGGTGTGGGCACAGCAGAGCCCAGCACTCAAGCACAGCCCCAGGGCGGCTGGACTAGGGATGGCTCAGTACGTTTGAGACGAGTTAAATTAATTTGTGAAATGAAATCTGACATGTGATGCCAGACTTTTTAATTATCCCCAAATTACCTCAATAACAAAGTAAGTCAGAGGCTGCCATATCCTTCAGAGTTAAATTCCTTGCGATCTTGTGCACAATGTCTTGTGGGCTAATGGCTCCCTGGTGTATAGCATGTTACCCAATGTGCTCTGGTGCTCTGTAAATTATATCATATCTGAGCAAAGGGTCTAATCCCTGGACAGACACAAAGCTCCCACTTACGTCAGTGGGCATCGGTTCATGGCAGCACTGCCTATGGGAAAAGGCAAATTTCAGGACTGCCCAAGTGATTGCAGCAAGCCCCTGTGCTATTTTGCTGGTCTCATCTGCATGGGATGTGTCAGTACTGCGGGGTCACTTCTGGCTCAGGAAGATAACAGTAGCTATCTGGATGGAACCAGATCACATATCCAGGCTGAGTCCTGGTAGTGCCTGCACCAATGCCTTGGGAGCTCATGGGGACCAGTACATATTGTGCAAGTATTTTTAGCCTAAAGATTTTTGTTTCATTATAGGATTTGTTAGTCTTTGCTGCTTCCCCACTTTTGAACACTAGCAGGTCCTAGACTGCATGGCAGCTTGATTTAAGTCATATATGTATCAAAAGCTAGTAGCCCTGAGATCATTCATGCACAAAAGCCTTTGGTCTTGCAGGGTTGCTTCATTGCTAAAAGGAGAGGTCAGGCTTTCACTAAACTGCCTTTACTGGGATCACATTGCTGGCCAAGCCCTGTGCCAGCTGCTGCGGGTTGCTGGGATGCACCAGGCTTGCTTTACTGTGAAGTGAAGGCACTGCTAGATCTCATCCAGGCTGACGTCAGACAACAAGCTTCTAAATTTTAATTACTCCATAAACATTGCGCTGGTGTCAGTGCCTCTGCCAGCCCTCACATATGAGTCCAACCGGGCTGCTTCCCTGACCCTGAGAGCTGAGGAGCCCAGAGATTGGTTTGTATTGCTAAAGCCAGAGGAGAGAAATGCAGTGGCTCACTGCAGGGCACAACCTGAGCCCTTGCTTAAGGGAACCTGCTCAGCACCATGGAGACCGAGGGACATGTATAGACACAGCCCCAGGTCACACTGGTGATGCAAACTGGCAAGTGAGTTAACAGAATGGGGAAGAGAAGCACAGAGATGAGGTTTTTATAGGAGAAGCGATATCTTGTTGTCTGTCTATTTCTTAACCTGAATTTCTCTTTTTGTCTCCCATACTAGACAGCGGGGGCAACTGGGATTGCAGCTATTTTGCAAGTCCCGCTATTTCACCAGGAGTATTTCATATATACCAGGATCTGCCTTTGTACTGTAACCCAGCACAAGAAAATGCCTCATCTTTCATTGCATCGCTCTAATTCTAAATTAATGGCACTGCCCAGCAGGATGCACACAGCAGCAATGGCACGTTCTTAAATGTCAATGTTAAGACCTATTTATTCTCTGTTTTGTTTTTTTTTTCTTTTATTATGTGAAGCAAGACTGGCACTGTACCTTGCAGCAGGCTGGCACACCCAGCCAGGGTCACCAACAGGGGGCACCAGTTGTGCCACTGCGCACCAACCTTGCTCTCTCCCTGCTCCTCCATTCCCATCTCCTTCTTCCAGCCCAGGGAGAGAAGCAGTAGATTACTACAGCAGTGGGGGGAAGAAAAAAGCAAAAGTGAGGTTCAGACGGAGGCTTATCTCCCTGTGGAAACCCAAGTGTTCCCGACCAGCAGGAGCTGCCTCCTTCCAGTCTTAATGGCAGAAGGGAATACAAACAAACCAGGTTCTCCTAGTGCTGGAAAGCCCCAGGAACAGAGCTCTCAGGGGACACAGTGCATACGCTGTGCTGATGCAGTTCTATGCCTGCTGGAAATGTCTTGCTTTCAAACAGATGGCATTTGATGTACCCAAAGCCCCTGGGACGCAGCTGCTGATGGATCTGGCCCCACCGTTGCATGCATGGGCTGCAGGTTACAGGAGAGCTCCTTAGGAATGGGAGAGGGAGGAAAAAGATTGCCACCAAAAATTAACTACTGCAGTAAATGACAACTAGAACCTTTCACAGCAAAACCTTTGGTTTCGAGCAGGTTTTTCTTTCCTGCTAAGGGAGTTGTGGATGCAATGGTTTGGACACACCCAGAGCACAAGCATTGGGTGTCTGTGCTGGATGCTTCGAGGATCTTTCTTCCCCATGCCCCCTTCTGCCCACCCTGCCCCTCCTCCAGAGGTTGAGCTGCAGCCCACCCAAGAAAGCTAACAGTCCCATCCCCATCTTGTTTTGCAGATTATATGAAGGAATCTGTGTGCAGCTCCAGCACTTGTTCTCTGAACAGCAGTGAAAACCCATACGCCACCATTAAAGATCCCCCCATCTTAACATGCAAACACTCTGAGAGCAGCTACGTGGAAATGAAATCGCCTGGTCACAGGGACTCCCCATATTCAGAAATGCCAACTTCATCAACAGCCAACAAAAACATCTATGAAGTTGGTAAGTGGGAAGTGCTGCCTCTCATATTTTAACAGTTGGGGTTTACCTTATTGCTGCTGGGTACTGCAACTACTTTCCCTTGCTTTCCCAGAGCCCACCATCAGCGTGGTCCAAGATGCCCGTGCCCGGAGTGCCAGTTACCTCCAAAGTCCATATGACCTGCCTAGGAACAGTCACATTCCTAGTCACTATGACCTTCTCCCTGTAAGGCACAGCCCAACGCACGGGTCATCTTGGGACAAGCAGTCTTAAAGGGATGGACTTCACTGTGCTGCAAACACAAACTCTGAGGAAGCAAAGAGAAGACAATCCTTTTCTGCACTGCAGGATGTTGACATGACTTTAGGCTGCAAGGACCTAGCATAACTAAACATCAGCTTGGGCCAGCTGCTGCTGCATGATGTTATTTAAAAAGACTTTTTTTATATGGATCACAAGAACTAATGAGAACCTTCTCCAGATGTTGCTGGAGTGCATCACCCCTGGAAGGTGTCCACTTGCTCCAGGCAAAAGCTCTCTGCCATGTGTATTCTAACCCTGGCTTTGCTGTAAAATAAAACACAACACACTGAGTAGGAGGACCTAGAGACATACATACATTTATACCAACTGCATCAGAAAACCTTGTACCGTTAGGAACGCTGGAATACAGTTTATATCTCTGTCATGGAAATGGACATTTTTCTGAACGAAAGTGGGAAAGCTGCTTGTTTCACTGTCTGGAAACTTCATTTACTGCCATCACCATGGGCATCCTGTGCAGATCATGCTTGGTAATCAGTGTATCTTTGTATTCAGTACCAGGGTACTGGAGTACAGGAATATCAATGCATTTTTAAAATGTAGCACCTTGGCCAATGTCCAGTGATCTCTGTCAACAATTTAAGTTTAAGCAATGAGTCTCATACCCAGCTTGCTGCACTTTGAACAAGCTAGAAATATTTTGGTACAGCTATGCTTTAATTTTCCTTGTACACCTTCTTTTTCATTAGATAAATGCACAGCTTTTTTGGGTGGTGCAAACAGACACACCTTCACCTGCATCCTGGGACGCTGTGGGTTTGCACAGACCAACCCTGGTTCAGTCTCCTAACAGTAGGATGCATTGGCTTCATCATTGGCAAACCACGTCACCATGATGCACCTGGCAGCATGCCCTTCATGACACCCTTTAATTTGATGTGCATTACCATGTAGTGCATCTTTATCTGTTAATGATTTTACCTGACATGCCATTACATTGAGCTGAAAATGGGTTTCTTTTTTCAGCAGCTGTTTGTGAAACAATTATCAAGGGGTTGACCTATGGTAAAGCTTTGGACTAAGCCACCATGATTTTTTTTTTGTAATCTTTATTGACCTAGGAAGTAGAATACTTGCTGTTAAGCAGTTCCTTGTAGATTTTGAGCATGAAGTAGTATTGATTCTAAGTATGTAATTTTACTAGGCAAACGCGGAAGTAGCAAGTTGCCTTTTAAAGATTAAAAAAATTCTGTTGCACATTCACCAGTCTGATGGAAGCAGAAGAGAACCAAGCCAACACCAAGCTGTTTGCTCTACACCTGACCACCAGTGGAGGCTGCTGACCTAGGGGACTGGTATGAGGACCTGCTGCATGGAGACAGCAGCTCAGAGCAGCTCCATATGACAGCAGACATTGGAGCACCTCGGGTAGGGCAGCACCATACCCCACAGCACCCCTGCAGCAGCCAAGATAGCAGGGCCAGCTCTGAACCCCTACGTGCAATCCAAGAGATCCAGACAGCAGAGCTGAGCCCAGAGATCCCCCCAGGCTTGCAGAGGAGCAGATTTTCATGTTTCAGGATAACTCCAAAGTATTTACATGAATGCTGCATGTGTGCATGGGGACAATGACTGATCAGCAATAGTAGTTTTATTTTCCAGGAAAGCCTTATATGAGATGTAATTAGGCACTTATTTTGTAGGGCCAAGAGGGGTATATTTTGCATACACGAATGGAAAGACTTACCTCAAAAATACCAAGAGAAATGCAGTTTGATGAGAAATCCTCTGGTTAGAGGCCTACCTTGCCTTCTAGCACAAGCAGTCTCAGCTGCCCGCCTGACCAGGGTCTGTGTGTGTTGCTGTCAACATTGAGATGAGAGAGCAGAGATGAGGCTCAGATTTTTGTTTTGTTTTTTTTCAAAGCTGGATTTTCAATCCAAATGCAACAATGTGTATAGAGCTTAACAGGAAAAAAAAAAGGAAAAAAACAACAAAGGAAGTACCTTCTTGTATATTATTAGCATTAGCTTAGAAAATAGGCACCAAAAAGGCAATACTTTTTTAAGGCAAGACAGATTTGTAATATATTTGTTCACTGTGCAAAGGTATTCTACCTTGTACAAAATAAATCAAATTTCTCTCAGTGTGTCTTTCTCAAACTTACTCATTGGCAGACCAAAACTCCCAGCCCACGCTCAGGTTGAGTGCTCCATTCGACAGTGCTGGTTACAGAGGAACTCACCATGTCTTCATGGAAAATCTCACAGGCACTTTGCAAGCCAGAAGCTGTTTTTCTGTTGCAGGACTTCTCAAAAAACATAATGACATAATTCAGACTGAAATTTTGAGCTCACTTTCAGTGAAGCCCAGCTTTAAAACAAATAGTAGCTGGCATGGTGTGCATCTTTTGTACAACTCTTTCCATAGCTCCTGTCTGCAGCAGCTGAACCTTAGCAGGTCTGAGCAAGACCTCAGTGAGGCAGAAACAAGGTGATGACAGCTCCATGTCTCTCTGCTGCTTACGCAATGGCTCTCAGCCATGTCCCAATGGCACACAGTGACGCCAGCAGATTGCAGTGCTTTTGGTGGGCACAGGAGGACACGGGACAGCAGTGACCCCAGGACCAGGCAAACCACAGCCATCTCAGCATCCGACTGTTCCCAAGGAGCCAATCAATAAATCACAAGCATGAATTTGCAGCAGAAACACCTTTGGAATTGATGATGCCAGGGCAATGCAGCAGATAGCTACATACTGAAGCTTTTTCAATATTTGTGCTTCATATTTCTAAAGATGCTGTTAACTAAAGCCCAGCATGTAATCCTCTTATTTGACAAGCCACACTCAATAAGTTATTTAAGTCTGGAAACTCATCAGGTTTGAACTGATGGAATAAGTAATTCCAGCTTAATAAAAATGTCTTTACATCAGAACAATGCCACGTACTTTCTGCTCCAGTGTCAGAACTTCAACTGCCATCACACGGGAACCACAGATACCCACCAAACAGCTTCGGAGTTGTTAAGGTCAGGGCTTTCAGACATGTAAATGAGAGCAAAAGCTCTTGGTGAGAAAATCCAATTTTGCAGCACTATGCAGGAGATCCCACAAACTCAACTCAGACAGCTCATTTCAGGGCTCAAAAGCTGTATCTATTATGATCAGTCACCTCCTATTAGCAGAGAAGAGACGCTTCAGCACAGAAGGAACACCAATTACAGCAGAGATGATTAACCAGCAGCTGAGTGGGAATAATATCATTAGGTCAGCATCCAGACCAATGCCTTGCGCTGCTTCTCCAGAAGTCCCCTGTTTCTCCTGAGCCCAGCCATGGCTCAGAGCTCAGGACCAGCCACAGCCCTACAGCCATTAGGAAAAGGTATTACCAAAGCATAAGACAGCAGGCAAAGGCTTCAATGGCTAAGAAGTTACAGCCCTGTACACATACCATGTGATTTTGCTGTCGAAGGCAGCATAGCTTGCGAAGGCATTACGAACTATTGCATGAAAATTCTGGATTCCCTATTGCAGCAGTTCATAATTACAAAATCAGTTTTTGCAAGGCATTTCTGTCTAAGGCCTGTTTTGTGATTACTGCTTGTAAAGTCCTGATGAAAATAAGAGTTCTTACATTGCCTAAGAGCACACCCAGCCATTGCACAGATGCCCAGGACCACAACGCAATGCTGCTTCTCACACAGTGGAGGAGGAAATGCGTGCCCACACTGACTGCACAGGGCAAAGCTGGGGCTTGCATTCCAGCAGGCTCTGCTGCATTCAGATTTACTGCAGAAGGAAGCTTCTTGCATAAAGCCATAAGAAATCCAAGCTTGACGTGACAGCTGAGTCAGGCTGCTGGCTAAGTGAATCAGAAAAGGAACCAAAGCAGAACTCACCCTACATTTCCAGTTGGCAGATTTATGGCTTGGCTGCCACAGTAATGAATGTAATTGTAAAATACACTGCTGCCTGGCCACAGTGCTCTTCACAGAATAGAAAAGTGAGGATGGTCCCCATTTTATACCTTCTCCTGACTCTGGCAATACCAAGACCCTAAGTGCTGGTTCAGACGGAAGGATTCAGTGCTGCCACGTGCTCTTGGCATGACTTCCAAAAATCACAATGCTCAGTAGGCTGGCTCCTACAGCACCACTCGTTCAGAGAAGGCAACAAGATGGGATCAAACAGCTGAAGTAATTCGCTGTAGAAGGCAGCAGTCTGTCATTCCACAGGATTTTCTTACTGGTGGTAATGTGGAAAAATGAGGTTTGTAAAAGCTATTCAGGAATTTGACAAGAAAGTGTCTCATTTTTACACCATAAAAGCTTCTAAAGCAGACAAATTGCCATGAACTGCATCAGCCCCTAAAAGCTGCAGACCTGGTCCCAATATGTGGCCCTTTCAGTTCCTCTTCTGGAAGTACTTCCACTTTGGTGTCTCCTCCCAGTTCCAAGAAATTTACTAGCAAGTAAAAACATTAGAGTCAAATCCTGCTTCTCCCAAAAAGTGCACCCAACACCACACCGAGTTGTCCCCTGTAATTCTTTATTAGAATCATGGATGAATATATTTTAAATCAATCTAAAAAAATAATGAATCAAGTTACAGTACATGCATAAAATACAAAGTAATTTACAAACAGATCAAAATAGCATCTTCAGAACTAATATTAGGAGGAGAAATGGATTTAAAAAAAAAAGTGACCGACTACAGCAATGCCTTCCGTGTGCCTTACACATCATGAGCACCGCAAGACAGAAAGGTTGGGTAAGAAATGCAGCTGGTAGTGCCTACCCAAATCCAGATGTTCTAAGTGGGTCATCTCAGAGTTTGAGAAATGTCCCCTACAGACAATTACTTCCTCTAATTGTACAGATAACCGCTGGCATTTATACAAACAGTTCCTTTAAATCCAGTCGAAATTCAGTGCTGGAAGCCCCTGCATCTCAGCATTAATGGCATGGCTGAAGACATCGCTGTCTACACATGGCTGGGAATAGCACGTACTGTAGGATATGCAGTGGTTTCAGAGTGCAGCGACAGAAGGCACAGTTCATGTATCCCTGAACTAACTAATTGAACAGATGAGTTGTGCTGAGTGACAATCACTGAATGAATGCATCCAATAACTAGTCCAGATGTTTTTTGTTACAGAACATGAACCAAACCACTGGAATCATTTAAAAATACTGGATGAAATAGAACTGAAGACTAAGACCAGGATGTAGCAGTTACTGACTGATCAACTTGAGCATCTGAATATCTTAGTATGTATGACATTTACTGATACGTGATAGGCAATATGTGACAACATCCTTCAAGTCTGTGCATCACAAAAGAAAAAAGGCATCCTCAAGCCCTGACAGCACTGGCACTGTGGAGGCCGAGCCTCAGGCAGCACAAAAACACACTGCATGTTCCAGTGACCCTCAGTGACACACACTGCTTCTCCCTCCTTTGCGAAGGCAGCTCACGTGAGTCCCACCAGCACCCACAGCAGCCCTGCCTGCAATGCAGCCCCCTGCAGCAGGTGCCAAACCACAAAAGCTCATTTACTGGTAGCAAGAACCCTGCTGCTTGTTTGTGAGAAATTCTCATCTCCCACCTCCCCCAGAATATTCTATAGCAAGATCTCCTCTTGACAATCTGAAGATGTAGCCAAAGACATTTAACTTTACATTAAAATTGCACTTCAGAGCAACAGGCATTCCATCAAGCTTTAGATGCAGTATACAACACCTTAAGACAAAGACAGATTATCCTGCCCAGAGATATTCTCCTAGTTAACCCAACAATAATTGTTTTGCAAGGAGCAGAAATACATCTTCAAGTGCTCACTAAATGTGTCTGTGTTGTTCTGACTAGCGGGCATCACGCTGCAAAGAGATCAGTTCAGCTCCAAACAATTTACTGAACCAAAACTGACAAGTCAGCGTTGGGAAAATACTGCAGCCACATAGAAGCAATAGATTATAAACACAGAAATCAAAATGTTTAAGACATGGAGAAATTCAGAAGGAATAAGCAGTAACTGAACACAAGAAAGTAACCACAAGAATTACAAATATATTTAAATCTTGGACCTGGGGAATATACACAGCCTTTTAGGAAAGAATGAACAATTCTTATATATTCTGACAGCACTGCATCTTTGGTTTGTTTTCAGTGGTTGGAGGGACATGAATGGGCACCACGTTGTTGCTTGGAGACATATCATTCTCACGTCTGTCGGACATTTGCTTCTGGGAAACAATACGATAGATCTCTGGAAGATGAGAAAGAGCCCATCGTTACGTGCATGCAGAGCAACATCAGCAAGCAAACATCTGGGGAAGCCAAGAATTGCAGAAAGCAAAGATTTCCCATGCTTCTGACAATAAGCACAGCAGCTTTCACAAGAAGTTCAATGAGATCTTCTGTATTTATAAATTAAAATATAAACCATCTTCGCAAAACACATTTCTTTCACAACTGCTTTACCAAAAGCAATTAAAAAAAATAGTTCCTGACTCTCAGTAAAGATGCAGAATCTACCATGTATACCATCAATTCCTTCTGATTCTTCTCGTGGCTCTCAGAACAGTGTGTTAGTGCAGATCAGCTTCAGGACTTCAGAGAAGACTGACTACAGACAAAGAAATCCCAGCAGAAATCAGAGAGCACAGGTTAAACTGCTCTGCCTTTCCTACACTGCCAGGTGCACACCTGCACTGAAAACTCTGCCAGGTTCCTGGCATTTGTCTGTGGCCAACAGTACCTGTGTACACACACTGAGAGCAGGTACGAAGCCACTCCCTTCAGCATGCATAGAGAAGTGTGATGTGTAGCATTTCACCCAGGAAGGAAATAAAGGACACCAAAAATAGAACACAGGGAACTCACTTGCAAATTCAAGTTTTAAACCACTGAAGTTAAAAAAAAAAAAAAAAAGAATATCCACTAAGCCTTATTAACAAAACAAGTTAGTGTTCCAGCTTCAGCAAAAAGCCTACCCTGAAATGACAACATCACATCTGCTTTACAAACAGAACAGTGTGCTGGCACCAAGCACACAGCGCTGCCCGCACCATTTGCATGCTGCAGCATGGCCTGCTGGGGCACTCCGGATAAGCTCAGGTCACACAAGAAGAGGGTGTCTGCAGAGCAGAGCAGAACATTGCTCACAGATAACTTGGGTGAAACACAGCAAAGGTTCAAATTCTTTTGTAGGTCTAAAGTCCCTGGAAAATGACGGTCCAAGCACCTCGTCTGACCCCAGACCAAGACACATCTTTCCCACCACAGATTTGTCATTACTGAGTAGCCTTTGTTCAGAATTTAATGAGCTGCTGTTTAGTGCACATCCTGACATCATTTCAGTACTGGAAACTGAGTAACCCTGTGTAGAGTAGTCCTGTTTGCTGCCAAGGGCTGGTCAGACAGCTATGTGCCTGCTTTTATGAGAACTGATGGCATTGAGAAGCTAAAAAGGGTTCCTGATAAACAAGGCCTGCAAACCTTGCCCTCGATGCAACAAGCTTGTGTTGATTTAAGCTGCCAACACAAACAAAGGCCGAGTGCTCCCCAGGAAGAGTAAGAGCAGGGCTGCACACATCCATGTAACTGCTGACCAAGTGGTAATTTCTCCAAGAGACTGTGCTGTATCTATTGTAAGTAGAAGGAACTTTACCCTTTGCAAGCTGCACTGTGAAACAATCTGTTTGTTGGGCCTCTAAAGTGAGGGCTCATACTCAGATAGGGATAGACTGTTCAGAAAGCTGGACCTTACGTATGCACTCAGTTAGAATCAGGTCACTGATGCAATCAAACAAACTGCAGACACAAAGCAGGATTTTCTGATTTCACCAGTTGTGAAGTTCCCTATTCTTCCTATAACATATGAACAATTTCACAAGTTTGAGGAAAACGTACAACAGACCTTTAAAGCCACCTGCAGGCTCACATGGGAATCTGTAAATAAAGACCAGCTCTGCCCCGTGGCAGGCCAGACAGCAATGCTCAGCACAGGGCACATGTGCAGAGGTGGAGGGAGCACAGCTGGAAGAGATCTGCACTGCATTCTTCAAACAAGTTCTCTGCTCCATATTTCTGCTCATACACTTAGAAGCAGTAATTCTCTATTTTCCATGGAACTTCCTGAATAAGTCCATACTATTCTCTAACATGAGCTGTCACACAATTCCTCCACCCCTACCCCATAAGCAATGTCCTCTGCATAACACCCTCATCTCAAAGCACTCCAAGATCTTCAGGGTTGTTTAACAGTCTTAAAAATAACAGTGCTGATTTTTTTTTTGCTGATAAGGGTCTCTCTCTTCTGGCTGTGGGAAGTGCATTTCCAACTGATCCTCGCTCCCTGGCCTGCTGGAACATTTAGCAGCAGTGCTGCTTGAGTCGACTTGCAGCAGCTCCACTGCTACTCACTGCCACTTCTTCCTCCTCTGCTGTACAAACCTTTGTGCAGACACAGGATACTGCTCCAGATCAAAGCCTAAGTGGTTAAAAACTACTTTGCCCTACACTACAGCTGCACTCCTTCACCACACATGGTTGTGTTGGTGTGATGAAGGAGGTGGGAACAGCTTAAACCTGCTCTTCCTGCAGCAAAATGCCCAAAGGCAAAGCCTACACTGAAACTGGTCTGTGCTGAGGAATGCCCAGCTAATGAAGATGTGTACTTCTTAATGAAGACACTACACTTTATGCTCTGCTCAGTAACTGAATGAGACCTTATTAAGAGCACATTCAGCAGAATGCTTCTCTGCGTAATTGGTAGCCATGTGAGACGGGCCTTGTGCTATAAGAGCTGGGAAAAAAAACAACTGCTGTCTATTTGCCCAGTCCTTGTCTGCCCAACCACGGCTAGTGTTTCATTCACTTTCAGGTGTACAGATCTAACAAAAAGAGGAAATCCCTCTTCTTATGTTCTTATGAAATGTTCTTAATGTCTGTACTCTGTGATGTTGTCTCCTTGGAGATGGGATTCCTTAGAGATGAAACCGCAGAAGAATGCGGAACAGGAACAGCACTGAATGAGGCAGGGAGCAGAGGCTGACTCCAGTTTACTTTAAGGATGCTTTATCCTGCTGTGAATGCTCACAGGGGATAGGATTAAAACACCAGTCTCTCATATTTGCCAAATAATACAAAGCAGCTTTGTGTGCACAGGAATTAGCCCTTGAAGTCTAGACATCTTACAACAGAGGAGCTTGGATAGGGATCATTATTCTAAGCCACAGAAGGAAAAGGTCCCCAAAACTTATCTGGTATAGACAACAGGAGAGGAAGCCTACTAGATTTAAATTTAATTCCTCCTTCCCACTGCCTTTCTCCGGGAAATCTATAATATGGCACGACAAAAGGAAAGCTTTCTCCCTCTGCTACCACCTGTAACAACAGCAGACCATACACTCACTTAACACTGTGCTAACTATAATGGATACATGTTTTCTACACCCAAAGCCATCTGTTCAAGGTGGCTTCATCTGAGAATCTAGGTGTGAATAAGCTTAACATCAACCTGGTATGAGTTCAACTGAAAGTACTCTTCGGAGTTTCGATCACCATCTCAACCAGATCACCTTCAGTAGGGCTGAGAAAGGAGTTTTGCTGCAGATCTCAGTCAAGACATCTTTGTCCAGGAAAAGTCTAAGCAGCTGAGAGCCACTGAGAACAGCCCGAGATGTCTTTGCAGGACTCTTCCCAGCATGGAAAATACTAGCTTAGCTGGTGCAGCAGCATGCCCTGCCCCTTCTGTCAGCCTCCTCCACACAGCCTGTGGTAAAGCCTGTTGGCTTAATCAACTTTCTTCTTCAAATGACAGCAAGTATTCCTTCCTCTAGTATTATGTTTGGAGGCAACCTAGCCACATACATACAGACTATCCATGATTCTGCAGGGTCTCTCTGAAAACCACATTCCTCAGATGACTGCTCACCTCTTCCTTTTAAAGCAAATCATTAACACAAATAGCCAGCTGTGAAGTGTTATCAAGAAGTTTATTGGCAGAACATTCATCCTTTGCATGCCAGTTACAGCAGAGATGGAGGCAACCTGCTGCTAATGCATTATTTACTTCATCTTTATCTCCCTGAAACAGGAGTCTATGTCTGGAGAAAGCCATGTGCCCACTAATCAGCAGAAGTGTTTCTTCCAGCACAGCTGAAATAGCCCTTCCTCAACAAGAATTCTGTCCGCATGCCCAAGAGTTCTTTACCCCAAACACTGTCACAACAACACAGGGAGCTCTGACATTTGTGAAAAAGCAACAGCCCCAACAATCTGTCATAGCCCACTGAGGGTTAATCTTAATTGCTTGTTCTCCCATTACAGACTGCTCTCCTTCACAGAGAAATAAAACCAGAAAAATCAAACCTCCACTAATTAGAATCCAAAATAACTTCTGGAATAAAAAGTGCTGTTGAAAGCATGCAAGGAGAGAGAGAAAGAAACAGCCTAGTGTGCACCCAACAGGTAAACTGCTTCCCCATGGCAACAGCAGTATATTGTATCTGAGTGTCACACAGACCGGCAGAAATAAGGCAGCAGCCCAGGGCATGCAGCACACCAGGCATCACTGCTATGGCACAGAGTGGTCCAAGAAGGGGCTGAGGGCAGCTAGATCTCTGTGTCCACCCCCACTCCAAGGGTATTTGTAACACATTTTGAACAACTCAGGAAAATGCTCCAGAATTTATATTTATTACAATAAGTTTCCTAGCTACCTCCTCCACTGCATGCTCCAATATGGTTAACATGTCCTTTATGATGTGTTTGTGAAAGAAAGTATCCATTACTTGCCAAAAAGAAAAAAAAAAAAAATCTAATCTAACTAGTTGCCAGTGTCACAGAAGTAAGAAGTTACACCTATCAGACAAAGGAGTTAAACAAAAAGGAAGTACCTCATCCACTGAGCATGAAAACTGCAGCAGTCACTGCTATCACGTGCTACAAAGGCCAGAAGTCCAGCCAGGACTATTAAATGCACTGACAGCAACCAACCTCTGCTCAGGAGTCACCGTGTCTCAAACTACCAGTACTGCTTAATTCTTTTGGCACTTTTCTCTTGGCAACTGTTAGGCTCACCATTACTGATGGAAACAAGCTAGATTGCCTTCTCCTCTGGCAACAGCCATTTGTCTGGAGATGGGCATGAGACAATTCTCTCTCACAGGCACTCCCTGCTCCACAAACAGGAAAGTGAAGCACATAAACCAGGCTGACTGGAAACCCGGGGTAGAGCAAAGTGAGTAAGACTCATTCCAGAGTTCCATGCTGGTCTATCAACTATGACACTTCAAAAGCAGTGTCTGAATATTACAGCTGTGAGGAATGATTAAGTCGCTAGATTTTACACACTTTATAGGCAAATAAATGCCTATTCGCTGCATATTAGAGCAGCATTCTGCCCTTCCTCCTCCAAATACAAAGTATTAGATGACTCACCTGTCAGAATAGTCTGGAAAGCTGCTTCCACATTTGTAGAGTCTAAAGCAGATGTCTCGATAAATGACAAACCATTCTTCTCTGCATGAACAGAAATACCATAATTAGAGGTGTATAACATTTATCTCCCATCCAGAAGAACTTTTGTACCAGACAACGTATGTGGTGTTGCTGATGAGATAGATGCATTAGTGCTAAGAAAATACATTAGAAGTTGTAGGATTTTCCCCTTTATGATCTGAAGGCAAGGCTAGCTAACAGCAGCAACGTAATTTACAGCTATCATCAGGCACAGGGATCAGGCCAGTGCTGTGTTACCTGGAGGTACACTGAACATCACTGAAAGTGAGAATTTGTTGCACTCTCAAGAAGTGTGCAAGAAAACTTCCTGGACGCTTTTTTAACCTTGTCAGGTTTTTCTACCTCCCAATAGGTCACGGCAGCTTACCTAACACGGCAAGCCTTATCAGGGAACAGCAGTCCTTTACCTGCAGGCAGGTATCCTCACTCTGCACAAGCAGCTACCGCAAGCCTTAAAGAACAAAACCCAGCTTCCCTCCACAATTAAAGAAATCTGTCCTAAAACAAGGTAAGATACACACAAACAGAATAATTTCTAGAATTACTTTTCACATATCTTAATTATGTATTAAGAGCCAGAAAGGTGGCTTAATGTACATCTGTTCAGATACCAGCATCTGTTCGGGGCTCCAAATCAGCTGATATAGATCAGATATTACACAGACACAAAGCTGCCACCACGCACAAAACTTAAACCCACCAGCACGGCTTCTACAAGAAAAGCAATGCATAGGCATGGAACTAAATCTGGCTTAAAACTGTCTTCAGGTGCCTCTGGCAGATTCTTTAGAGTCTATCAGCATGCAGGTTCTATAGAACTTCATTTTTAACTGAATGAAAAAAGGCATACAGCAGTACGTGGCACTAAGTCTTTTCCCTCCTACCTGTACACTCATGTACTTCACATCAGGAAGGCAAAGTCTGGACAGTTTGCATTAGGAAATTATTTTGAATTCACCAACCTGCAAAAGCTCTGGCCTCATCTGTAGGGACTGCTCTCAGGTGGCGCAAGTCACTCTTGTTTCCCACAAGCATGATAACAATATTGCTGTCTGCATGGTCTCTCAGCTCTTTCAACCATCTCTCTACATTCTCATAAGTAAGGTGCTTAGCGATGTCATACACCAGCAATGCTCCTACAGCACCTCGATAGTACCTGTGGGTGAAGAGATGTATTAGAGAACCAGCAAAAAACACGATTGAAAGTGACAAGCTACTGAGTAATAGCTGTTCCCCACTACTGCAAAGACAGTTATATTAAAAATTATATTAATACACAACATGATGCATGGGACTTGAAGCAGCTGAAATACAGCATCCAAACCAGGGTTAATCCACGTGACCACAACAGCAGCCAGGGGCTGGTGGGTCCCCCTGCACCTCAAAAATGAAGCACTGTAGTCTGTGGGGAGCGTCTGTCACCTTCAGCCTCTGACCCACTCCTGAAAGGCTCCCCACCCACCATTGTGGGTGCAGTACGGGCACAGCCCGGAGCAGCAGGAAGACTTCACAATGACTCACTGGATCATTAAAAAAAAAAAAAAAACAACTTGATCTGTTCACTTTATGAAATGCCCTAATTGGTTTACTCTCAGACCAGGAGAAGCACAGTTACATATTCAAAAAGAAAGAGGTTGTGCTTTCCCACCCCACAATTACCTCCAGCTTTACTCAAATCTAGCTTTTGCTGAGCTGCTGTTTCAATTAAACAAGCACACAAAGTGAGCAGTGCCTCCCTACTGATACAGGAGGCATTCTGGTCTTAAGTTACCAATGATAAAACCTCCATCATTACAGCTATTATTTCATCAATGGCTTGCATTTAAGTGAGTCTCTCACAGCTCAGAAACGCCTCCAGTTACATATCATGAGAGCACTGAGAAGTAAATCTGTTCATACTGTGTCAAGCTTCAGGACAGAATAACATCCGAGCTTCCTTCCCCCATATTATATATGGATATTATAAGAGAAAATCCATCCCATTTGCAGTTTGAGGAATCAGAAGGGCCTCAAGTTCACCCTGCTCAGCAAAAGCTTCTCTCCAGACATATAAGCTGCCACTTACGCTGATGTTATAGCTCGGTATCGCTCCTGCCCTGCTGTGTCCCATATCTGAGCCTTTATTGTCTTCCCATCAACTTGAATGCTTCTTGTTGCAAATTCTACTCCAATGGTGCTTTTGCTTTCCAAGTTAAACTCATTGCGAGTGAATCGAGACAGGAGGTTACTCTTGCCTACTCCAGAGTCTCCAATAAGGACAACTAGAAGACAGAAATGACATTGGAATCACATTCCAGATATAGATTATCTACTGTCAATCACCTGCAATGAATATATTTGTTTTCCAGAATAAAACCAGAGGAAAAGAATAGCAAAACCACCCCTCATGTCAGGGGTCTGTTGTCCAAGTCTTAAGATTTCCAGAGGACCAGAGCTGTCAGAGCTGGTGCATTTCAAACAGACTTCAGACTTGGTTTTTAGTAGTTACATTTCAGTCTCCTTTGCTTTACAATGAATCACGTTCCTCCTCCAGGAAGAACATACATGGCAAAGCACAAAAGTCAGAGATGGTTTAGATTTCACATCCTTGCAACAACGCTAGAACTAAAACAAATGAAAAACCACACAAGTGTTTTGCTGAAGCATAATTCCAGCACACAGGGCAGGCAGCAGGCTGCCTTTACTCTACACCCCTCGCACCCTTGCAGAAAGGAGGTTCCCCACTAGCACAGAAAAAAACAAATCAGAACGTACAGAAGTCACAAGACCACATCACCCTGATAGACAGCTTGAAAGGCTGCCGGTGCACAGCGCACACCTCAGCAGTCGCTCACTGCTGTGAGGCTCTGAGCCCAATGCTGCTCCAGAATGCTGCTCTGGGGTATGGCTGTGGCTCAGGATTACAGGAACTATCTGCTGCCCTTCCCAGCCCGCCCCACTGCCGCACCAGAGCAGAGGGAACTGGCTGCAAAGGTGCAGGAAGTTCAGTTGCTGGGTGTAACGCAAGGCCACCTGAGTCATGTCACACAGCAGCCCCTTGGGATGCTGCTCTGCCCTGATCATAAGAACAGATAACAGATGGAAAAGGAGGAGGAAGAGGAGGAATAAGATCCTTGGGAAGAAAGGCACTTCAAAGCCCATACAAGCAGAAGAGTCATGGGTGACAAAGAAAACAGCGTGGCTCTACTTGTTTTGAGAAAAAAAAAAAGCAGGCGTTTGCACAGTAATAAACACCATTTCAGCTTTAAGATGTTGCAACACAGTGTTAATTACACTGTGTGGTACAACAGAGGAATGAGCCCACTGAGCTCTGGAGCGAGACAGTCTGGCAGCATAAGAACTCCCACCGTTCGCTGCCTCACACAGCAGAGTTCTGGACACTGTTCCTTATTTACATAATGCACAGTTCTGACAAATGGGGTTTTCCCTGACTGTAAGAGCTGAGAAGCAGCTACTAAATTCTCTCCATAGAGTGAGAATTGCAGCAAACACCAGCTTCGGGCAGTCTTACAGAGAATACTTCATCCACACGTTGCAGCCCCCTCTGGCAGCTGACTCAGCGAGCAGCCTGCCAAGCTTCTGAGGCTGCAGAAAGCACAGAGCAGCTTCAACACTTCACTTAGGAGGACCCACAGTGCATGCAAGTGGCATGCACGTACACTGAATGCAAACAGGATCTGTTTTCCCACATGACAGGTCAGCAGGGTTCAGTGTCAGCTGCCCTGACACAGCTGAGCAGCTTTCCTGGCACAGAGGATGCCAAAGGGTAACAAAGTTAGTGCAGAGGTAATTAGGTGTCCTGACATCATCACCACCAGGCAAATTGCCACAGGTTTCCTTCTCCATTGGCAAATGAGATCTTCAATACTCCTTCAGCAGGTTTAGGTCACAGTCTTGGATGACATCATATTTGTATGCACTGGGACAACTGGGCTGAAAACTTCTCCAGGTGAGGAAAGCAGTCGACACACATCACTCTGTGTTCCAGAAGCTGTATTTCATCCCTGTTACCTCCTGCCCTCAGTGTTTCTCTTGTTCAATGCACATTTCCAAGGACAGTTCAGGAGTTCCCCCTGCCAGGTTTTTTTCCTCACCTTGTCTAAGTACCACACTGCTTACGTCTGAGTGCTCTCCAGTCCCAGATTAACATGTCTCAATTAAAAGGGAAAATATTTCACTTTCCTCCTTGAAGCCAGCTATTTCCTCTAGTTAATTGGGCCACTGCAGCTTGCATTGAGCACGGCCACAGGAACAGCTTGCAGTGTCAGCAGGTAGCTAAGGTTCCTCACACTTTCTACATTTCTACCAGTCTGAGCTATCATTCTTTAATGCAACGATGAACTGAAACAGTGTTAACCATCACTCAGATTATCACATTAATTTTTATTTTGCTTTCCTTATCAAACCACCTCAGCATTCCCATATATAATATTCTCAGCGGAGAAATGCAGCAGGAATGACCCTAAATGCCTGAGCCCAACTCTAACTATCACAGGCAAACAGTTTGAGAAGCAAATGATGATATCTAATTCCACATCAAAGCTAATCGTTCCTGCACACACTCTTTTAGCGGGCTTCTCTTCCAGAAATTCACTCTTAATGGTTAGAAATTGCCTTCTAATTTTCAGAAGAAATTAGTGGTCAGCTGGTAGCAGTGTTTGTGTGCCAGCACTGCCCATTAGCTTATTAGTTTCTTCTCCCAGTGGTATTTATGCTGTTTCACGTATTTACAGAAAGCAGCTGCATCTTCTCAGCTTCATTCTACCACCTAAATTCTACCGACCCACTTATCAAATATATCCTTATAAACAGGTGGTACATCTCCCCAGACATCTTCCCTACAAGTTCTTCATTTCTCTTCCAAGCAGTGAGAAGAACTACATGCATCATTCCAGGTGAGACCTCAGTGGTGACATGCACAGGGATTTTAATCTTGCCACCTCTACTAGAAATGCCCTGTGCTGGAATGGTGTGTTCCTGACCACACCACCATGGTGGCTCTGTCTGCCTGCAATCAGACCGAGCTGCCCGAACTTTCTGTCTGTCTTCAGCTTTTACTTCAGTGAATTCCTGCAAGCCCCCAAGCCTTGCATTCCAAATCCTGCTTCATTCAGAGAGCTGTCATCTTCATCACCACACAGGAAGTCAGAGAGTAGTATTGGAAGATCCGCTGCACCACTCACCTTCACACAGTCAGCAAATTCCTTAACTCCCTCAGCACTGGAAGGACTAAAGTTTATGGGGAACATTTAAGCCAGTTCAGCCTTGCAGAACTCCATCATAACCTTCTTTGCACCAGTATTGGCACAGCCTGGGAATAACCCAAGAGGCTACAGAAGGGAATCCCCACCCCAGCTGACTACTGCCTGGCAGCTCCCTGATGCTGTTTTAGTGATGTGGCAGCTCACTGTGTGCGACCATGAGCTTTTTGAAATGATGCATTTACTACCTTCAGCACTTAGCACTGCAACTGTTTAAGACAAAGTATTTGGTGGACAAAAAGAATGAGGCAGTCCATGCAAATGTATGAATTTCATTCTCTAATTCCAGTTTTATTTCTGTAGAAGACCAAAATAAGAATTCAATTTCCTTGCTTGAAAAGCCATTTTAGAGACGTATTAATCTTTCACCAACATTCCGACTCTCACTCAATTTTTATTTCTGTTAAACCTCTAATTGAAGTATTTTCTAAGAATTTCAACTAGCTCATAAAGTACACTATTGACAACCTAATCAGGTTGAAAAGAGAAAGTCCAGCACTGCTAGCTTCTTCTGGATGCAGAAGGGTTATTTTCACAAGTGGCATATTACACCATTTAAAACATGTCAGGGATTACAATGTCTGAAAACACTTCTGTCTGCAGTGAGCTCTGCTACCAAGAGGCAGATAAACTAAGAGCCTGAACGCATATTATGACACCCACAAGACCCTGCTGAACACCTCTTCCAACCCGCTTAAATTGGGGTTTAAAGGGAATGAGAATTAGATGACCTGATTCTACATCTTCTAGCCAACTGGTGACAAACCTAATGCGATCGTATCTTACCTCAGTCTCCCCCTCACCTGTATTCATCCATCTCCTGTCTCACAGAGAAGCGTCATAGGCTTCAAAGGCACCTTAGGGTAGGGGTCATCTATTACCCACACATATTACACACCACCCAGAACACAAGCACAGCATAACAGCAAAGCAAGAAGGTCTGTTCAGCCCAAAAGTGCCTCCACATCTAAGAGAGTGAAGGCACAGGGTGCACTACCATTGGAAAAATCACTATCTGCCATGCAACTGCGCTTCTCTACAGACAAAAACACACAAGAAAAAAAATGCATTGTCAGAAGTCTAAAACAACAGCTCTGTACAGATTCAGTTTCCTTCAGCAAAGGAAAAGGCTGGAGTAATAAACATGACGCAAACTAGGAAGCAGAGAGCTGAAACAGGAGTTTTTCCACCAATCAGCTGAATGCCACTGCAAGCCAGGTCTGCATTCGGAAACAAGAAGGCTGTCCTCAAATCCAAAGTTCCAGATGGTCAGAGTACAAACCTAATCCTCCTGAGCTTTGTCTGTGAAAAACACAGAAGACATATTCCAGAAGCGAGGGTTGTTTTGGTATCTACTCATTAACTGTAAATACATTAATCAAAAAGAGTTAAAAGTTGCAGCACTTCAGTAAGGATATTACTCAATAATTTAAGCCTCATGTCAACACTATTTTTTCTTCCCGTTAAAACTGAAGCAAGAATTCTGTGGAGTGGGCTTCACAGACCTGGGTTTTCTAAAGCATGGTGCTAGGAGACACAGGCACGGCTCTCAATGAAACCAACTGGTTTAGCATGGAAGGACAAACAGATGCGCATAGCTGGACACAAAGAAGTTACCAAAAACTGACTTGATTTAAGCCAGGCCTATTAGGTTTGAGCACAAACTCAAGTGCTGCTGCAGTGGAGCCAGGCAAGGGGCAGCGTGACAGCTACTGGGATTAAACTGCAGCAGCACAGGTAGGCTCTCATTAACACCACCAGCAGCCAGATTTTGCCATGGAGCTGCTGTCAGTGGCTGATAGCACAAGAACAGAGGCCTCACACGAACACACTAGCAGCAGTTTAACTCAAGAACAGTAAGAGACAGCTAGAGTAGAGAATATGCCTGGATTCTTTCATAGCTCATCAAAACCTGAAGTTAGTCCCAGCAACAACATCCCTTCAAGTCTATGAACCTCGAAGAACTGCCTGCCTGGATTGAGCATCCTGATAGACCAGTCTGACAGCAAGAAGAGATGTCTGAGAAACAGGGAGTAACAGAACAAACAGGCCAACCTTTGTGTAGCAAGTCCCCCATCTTCAAACAGCAGCGCCCCCAGACACAACACTGCAAGCAGCACACCCAGGTACACAATACATTTTCTTCCTCCAGGAGTTTTTGCAGTCTTTCAAATCCACACATGCTTTTTGTCTACGAACCACTCCAAAGTTCACATACAGACTGGGAGACTTTAAATCCTTTTGTTTTAGGCCTCTGCTCAATAAAAGCAGCAGTAAAAATATTCAGAGACATTACAACAAACAATAGATATTCTTTCCCTATTTGCCAACGTTGCTCATTGCTTTTAGTTTTGATAAAGTTAAGCATCACTTCAGTTTGGGTCACTCTACTGATTATTTTGATGTCCTGCATCTTTTTAGTTCTACAATATTCCTTTCAAAACTGGTACAGCTGTGCTGCCCACACGTTCCTGCAGTCCCCAGGGGACTCATGTCTCATGCTCACACACTGATGGAACGATCCCCACGTTCTCATTTCCTCTTCCAAGGACTTTTACTATTTGCCTTTTGGGGCAGTGCCTGGTAACAAGACAGCGATTTCAGACAACCACTCAGTAATTCCATGATCATTCCAGAGCGGTAACTGCTTGGCAACACCACCTCCTTTGGGTCCTCATAACTGTTTCCACAATTTTTGTCACTCTGCATTTCTGGATGCGTTGTTTCAGCTCCAACTATGCGACTCTGCATGGAGTTCCTGTGATCTGCTTTAACTTCAGAGGACTTGAATCACTTATTTCCACAAGACCGTTTTCCTAGCATTCCCTGCAGCAGCTTCCATGTTAGTCTAACAGGAAAAGCCTTAGGAATGGCAATCAATTAACTTAGCTCTAATTTCCCCCCCCCCCGCTACACAAACAAATCCCGACTGTATAATTTCACAGTTATCAAGAAGCAGGCTGAAGGAAAGGCAACACCTCTCCCAAGAAGCTCTGTGTCGCTGATACTCCCATTACTACCAAAGCATTAATAGTAAGTTTATTTACACAGCTCTGCCCATACAGGTAACAAAATGCTGTCGATAACCCGCACACCTCAGACTCCAAAACAAACTGCTGACGCGATGACGCTGGCGGTCAGCAGGGCCTCTGCTGCCAGCTGGGAAAACAGGTACTACTTAATGCCTCCTGGCTTCACCTTTAACAACACAAGTGACTGACTTACAGGTCAAGGTTTTCTACGTGGAATCTGGACAAAACAGACAATAGAAACTGTAATTCCTCGAAGTTATTACAGGATACAGATCAGAATACTGCTTTCCTTCAAGACACCCAAGTTTCACCAAGCTTGCAGTCTCCCACCATTACAAGATAGCGAGCGACATTCCAAATCCGACACCCCGCTTCCCGATGTTGCCCTGCAATAAGCGACTATTTCCACAGCTCTTCAGAGACCCAATTCCCGAACCTCGCTACAAAAGCAGCGTCGCAACGGCAGCACCGCAGCCTCGCGGCGCTCCCAGACGGCGCCCGGCCGCCGCCCGCAGCTTCAGCAGCGCGGGGCCGTAACGCAGCGGGAGGCAGCCCGCGCCCCGCGTTAAATTAGCTGCATCATCCCCCGACGAGAGACAGCCGGGCAGCTCAGCCCCCGGCTCCGGGCTCCACACACCCGGCGGGGCGCGGCGCCGCCCGCTCGGATCCCGAGGAAGGCCGCGGCCCTCAGCCCGCCCGGGGCCGCCAGCCCAGCGCCGCGCTGCCCGGCCGCCGTGAGGAGGCCGTGAGGGCCGGAGCCGCGAAGGTGACCCGCGGGTGGCACGGAGACGCGGGCGTTACCTTTGAAGAGATAATCGTACTCGTCGTCGCGGTTGCCCATGGTGCGAGGCGCGGCGGAGGCCGAGGACGGGGCCGGGGATGGGAGCGGGTGCCGGACCCCTCCCTACAGCCGCCTCAGCGCTTCCGCACTCTGCCCGCCCACGGCCGGGTCCTTCCGGGGCAGCGCCGCGGAGCCGCTTCCGTCCTCCCGCCCCGCCCGGCCTTAAAGGAGCGGTGCTGCCGGTGGGACGGGCTGCGAGCTCGGCCCCGTACAGCCGGGTCCTGCCGGGCACCGCTGGTCCCACCGGGCGGTCACAGCCCCGGGATCAGCCGCAGTGGGAGCGCGAAGTGCTGCGGAGTGAGGACTAGAGGCGGCCGGGTACGGGTGCTGTCACCGCGGTTCCATGGTGTAATGGTTAGCACTCTGGACTCTGAATCCAGCGATCCGAGTTCAAATCTCGGTGGAACCTGATCTTTTTTCGTTACCATTTTTTTTTTTTTTCTATACGTTCTAACTATGGCCCAAAGTACCCCCGTCTCCCTTCCCTCCTGAGGTTCCCTCTCACACACAGTGTAACTTGTATTCTCTTGGCTGCATTTTGGGCACTCTTCTCACAATGGTGCAAAACAAGGGATTGCTTCCACAGGAAGGTCTCAGCGCTATGTGACCCCACTCAGTTTGGGGTGGGTTACAGAGAAGCCACCCGGGTCCCACAGATCTGCCCACAGCCCAGGACATGAGCAGTATTCAAATCTATTGATTCTGTGAGATTCTGTAATGGTGGTCAACATGGTGGCACTGCTCTTGCAGGAGACAGCAGCGAGATATTTGAGTTCATGAGCACCAAATAGCTTCTAGGACCATCAAATGCAAAGCTGAAACAGCTGAAGGGAAGGGAAAAGGCTGGAGCATTTGTCTGCAGTAGAGTCAAAGGACAGTATGGAAAAACCAAAGCTACCCTCAGAATGAGGGGTATGGAAGCAGAAGCAGCTAAAAACATGCATCTGTACATATTTGCATTTAGTTGAGGTCATCTGGAGGGAAATGAGACCTGCCAAAGGGGAACTTAAAGCTGTGAAGCGGGCGAGCACAGCCCCAGGAGGGTTTGTGCCCTCAGGGTTTGTACCAGGACAACAACAGGGCTCCGCAGGCCTCACCCGCCACGGCCCTGCTGCCACCCTCAGGCACCAGGCCCTCTCCTTTCCCCTGTGCCGGGGCTGAAGACCTAGCTTGAAAAGCATAAAAATAGCCCTGGTGCCCAGATGCTCAAACCGAGGCCCTTAAGCCTCGCTCTGTTCTCAGTCTGTTGGCCACCTCAGCACTCAGCAGCCGTGCGATGATTTCTGCGTGAGGAGAGAAACCCCCAGGCACCCACAGCATCAGTGACTGTCTGCTGGGAGGAAAATGAGCCATAACCTGATCCTTTCCGCTTACAAATGCTTCCTGCTGCCTCAGAGCTTCCAAGAGAAGAAAACAAAATGCTAATAACAAAGGGACGTGGGATGGAACCGAATCCCCCAGCACACTGGACAAGGTAGGCTGGAGCACTGGGGTCTTGGCTCAGCCTGCAGCTCTGGACTGACTCTTTTTGTCTGCAGATGAAACTCAAAACACCCAAGATGTGGAGTCTGTAAGTGCTGCTCTCTCTTCTGCCCCTTTCAGAAGCTGATCTACTGTGCAGAGTAGTGCGTTAAGATTAATAATGAATACTCTACACGTGGGGGCTTGGTTGTATTTATAGCTGCGTTGTTAAGGCTTCCATCTCGCATCCTATTTGCAGTCCTCCTTTGAACCTTGTCATTAAAAAAATGTTAATTTTGACACGATGTTCCTCAGGCCTAGTTTCACACCCCAGAAATGCTACTGGTTTCAAAAAATTAAAAATAACACAGGTTAAGTATTTTTAGTTATCCCTCTGTAAGCACTGTTCTCATTTCTGTGTTTTGGGTTTTGTTTGTCAGCTAGCAGCTTGGGAACCTTTACTTATGTTTTTCATACGTGTGTTACTTCCTCTTGCACCAAATTGCAGATGCTCCTCTGCTGGATCCAGCTCACCCTGTGTAAGACAATGGGGCACAAGGCGAGGACAGCACCGCTTCTGGCTGTGCCAGAAATCACCATCCTTACACCGCTGCACTGTTATCACTTGTTGGACTTCAAGGAGACATCAAAAAGCAAAAGGCATTTTTTCCCATCATGTAATACAAAAATTCCCACAGATTGCCATGTATATGAGCAGCAGTAGGGGTTGTTTCCAGCTAAGCCAGTTTAAATGCATTTGATTGTTTTGATTAAATGCATTCTTCATGGTGCTGAGTGGCAAAACTGAAACAGCAGAAAGAGCTATGGGTCTAAACAGGAGCCAGCTGACAGCAGTGTATGAGAATTTAAGTCTTATATTCTTTTCAGTCCTGGGTTAATTTTGTTCCTGTTTAGGCAAGCAGAGGATGAGATTCTACAAACCCTCAGGAAATGTCACTGTCAGTGAAAACAGTCTTGGCTGCTCTACTTCTTCCTTGTGCCCCCCTTCCCAGAACATGCTACTGCAGTTATGGGATGGCCTGGGATACCTCCTGCACCACTGAAACATGGCCAAAAGGCAGAGGTCAGGCCTGAAATAACAGTGGACTATGTGCTCTGGGACTGACAGCTTTTAATGTGAGAAAAGTCATTCAGCACTGACATTTCTGCTGCATTAATTGCCATTAGTGTCATCCTTGCGGGAACACTAAATTCATTGCAAACCTTGAATTAATGCTCTCTCATAAATCTTCAGTTTGTGCTTGGATGCAACCATTTGCAGAGGCAGCACGTTCCAAGCAACTGGAGCAGAGACAAGGAGTGATACTCAGCTGGCCCTTGGATGTTCAATTTAGCAAAGAAAAGAAGCAGAGGTCATAGTCATAACTGTGTATTTATTATTCTGTTCTGGAAATTCATGGAGCAGATGCCAAAAAGGCCCCCGCTCTTGCTTTGGTAGTACCAATGTATGTTGGGCTCTCAGCTCACAGTGGCACTGTGCGTCTGATTCTTTCCTCACACCCTCCCTTCATCCTCCTTTTTCTTGCCTGTCACCAGCTCCTCAGACCCCAAGGGAAATCCTGGGTGAAAAAAATCAAGACAAATTTAACTGCTATATTCAATGCTTGTAGTGTTCCCACAAAGTCAAAGTGTTTCTGCAGTTGGATTTGACATGAAAGGAGAAGGAAAAAGGATGGACATAACGCGATCGTAGCTCTTCTGCTTCATTCTTTCCATGTGCAGTTTGCAAAGTCCATCACTTTATACGGTGCAGTGAAGGATCTGGAGGTGGAAGTAGCATTAACTCAAGCTTGTCTTTGAAGGCTGTTGGCCAAAATTCCCATTTTCCATATGGAAGGAGCCACCAGTTTCCCTGGGCAGAATGCAGGAAGGACAAAAGCAAAGCCCCACAACCTCCTCTGTTCTATCAGAGGAGAAATATTTCCTGAGGGGAAAATCCAATCAATACTTTGCCATTTCCTAACAAGCCACAAATCATTGCAATTATGCAAAGATAATTCAAGCTTTCCAATCCAGCTGCTAAATTAGAGGAAAGCAAAATCTTAGCACTCACTATCCTTAGCTTGACATGTCAGTCAGAAGAAAAAGCTTCAAGTATAAAACAGATCAACAGAAATAATAACAATAAAGCCCCTCTTTTTAAAACCCTCAACCAAATTAAGCAGTTTATGCTGTGCAAGGAGTTCAGTTTCTCAGGTAATTCCGTGACAGATGAAGTAGCAATAAAAATGCATGGAGTCGATTTTTCTGATGATTATTCACTTGAATTCCAGCATACACTCTATTCTTTCTTGTAGTTCTACAGCTCAAATAAGAAGTAATGGGCCCAATCAAAAATACTTCCTCTATATCAGCCTTTTTTTTTTTTTTTCCCTAACCCTGGAGATGGCATAACAAAGGATCTTGAGCTAAACATGAACATATCCAGAGTGAAACCTCGTCCTGTTTCCAGAGATCTGCATGGCACTGAAAAAAGAGTGGGAATGGAGCACTTGTAGAAAAATTAACTATCTTCTGGCAGCATTTTTGCTAGGCCAATATTACAGTAAGCAGAAGGGAAGGAATATCTCCTGCAGCCTTTGGGAAGAGAAATTGAATGCAACAGACTCGATGACTTGGTGTTTCTTATGATGACTTTGAAAATGAAGTCATCAGTTTCCTGCATCCATTTTGGACTCAGCACACATCTCCTAGTCTGTCTGTTGTCTCCAGAGACAAATTAGCAAGATAGTACTGGCAGCCCCAGGATAACTGCTAGCCAAGATATAATTTCTGAGACATTCTCAAAATCTTACTCTTACTAGACCTGCACAGGATTTTATTTCTTATCAAAGGCCAAAATCTACTTGCTGATGATATATTTAACAGGAGCATCACTACAGATAAACACAGTGTCATCATCACATTCCTCATCATTTTCTAATTTTGATTCAGTCAGCCCCAGAGAAGAAAGGAGGCAGCTTGACTTCTGTGGCTGGTCCATTCACTGCTGAAACAACCAGCAGAGCAGGCTGGCTGTGCTCAGCATGGCAATGTTCATTGTGAAGCTCTGCAATTACCCGAGGAGCCAGGCTGTGGCTCTAAAACTTTGCTCATTGAGATCATTAGAGAGTTGTCAGATGGAACAACTGGGATGGCTTTGATCTGGCAAAACACCCTTCCTCCTGCTCCCCTATCTTGGGAACCATCCAGTTCCCCGTAATTATTTTTTTTTTCAAGCCATTCACATAACACTCATTGTTTTTTCATAGGGTGCAATAAGTTCTGCGAGCAAACTGAAGACCATAAAGCTAGATAGATTAATTTATTAAATAAAAGTCTGAATATTTCAATGACTCCTCCATAAACATGTTCATAACTGATTTTGCCAAGAAGATGACAAAGCGTTGCACAGAATCCCAGAGATATTCCCTACAAATCCACTAGGTGTCCTACCGTTTACAAGTAATTAGGCTCAATTTCTATTTATTTATTTATCTGGCTATCTGTCTGTTTATTTATTTATTTTTGTCCTGATTTTGCCAGTGAGAAATTAGTTTGAGTCTTTAGTGGAATTAGGTCTGGGTTTCCAGGTTGAAATAACGCACACGTATGGGTCGTGTGACAGCAGGGCACCTGGCACACAGCAGTAGCTCTTTTGGCAAATGCTGCCGATGTTTCCCACAGAGACCAGCTCAAGGTTATAGGCTGCAAAGAAATAGGAAAAGAATCTACCTTCCTCTCCTGGGAATGCTAACCAAGATCTATCCGAGCCTCTCCTAGATCAACCTTGGGCTGCTATTTATAGGATTGCTAAAGTGAGCCCAACGCTGACCTTAAAGGTGATGGCAAAATGTGTCCTTAATCAGAGCCGCTCTGCACAGGCTGCAATTTTGACATTCCTGGTCACCGTTCCAGTCCCTGATGGGTCCTGCTGCCTGCCAGCACTCGCTCCTGGCTGCAAGGCCAGCACAGCACCCGCTCACGAGGTGTCCTGGCGCTTCCAACACAGAGGGCATGGCAAATATATACCAAGAAAAGCAAGCTGTAAGGCAGCCAAAGGATAGTTTTCTCATCTCAAAAATACTTGGGGTGGAGCGCATTGTAAAGCTTGTTTCTCTGTTGTGCAACCTGCAGCACACGCAGCGCACCAAGTTGTGCTGTTTGGGACTTCCCTCAGCCACCCTGAGATCCGGTGCTCACACCAAGCCTCAGCACAGCAATCTTGACTTCTCTGAAGCAGTCATCTCTCTAGCTATATGGAAAGCATCGTTCATTGCACCTCTTTCAGTCCTCAGAAATGGGTATTTGCAATGTATCAGAGGGATGACTACAAGCTGATTTTCTCAGACTTGTCACTGAAGCACAGATCGCACACTGGCTGTGTAAACCCCATAGGCTTATTGCCTGCCAACCACTGCTTGCCATATTTGCAAATTCCCCTCTAATTCACTCTAGGTTCAGAGTGGTGCCACATCTTCAATTTATTTCTAATCTACATGAGGTATGCGGAGAGAAAATTGGGTTTGTTTTCTATTCAAAAAATGCCAGAGACAAAGACGTTCTCAAACAATGAGTTTAATCTGCTTTACAGAAGTACTGCCCACAGCGACTGGCTTTGCAAATAGGCACCAGACAAGTGTCAGCAGCAGCTTAATCACAGGCTGCAAGGGGAAATCAGAGGGGAGGAACAGCCTCATGTCCTTGGCCCATCAGGATTCCTTGCCATCAGGCATTGCGCATCACGGGAAGTGCTGAGCATCTGTCCTGTGCCATGTGCTGCATTACCGCCTCTATTTCTTGCTATTTGTTTTGAAGGTCTGACAGTCATTTTCCTGACAACCTGCAAGAAGAAAAGATACTCCAATCTTCTGGCTGCCTGTATATATAGCTACCTGCTGCAATGCCATCCATAGGCAGCCTGCACCATATGCTGACTGTGAAAGAGAGTAACCTGGCCCAGCGCGTGTTTGCTGTTATACATAACAAATACCTCAAGCCTTGCCATGATTCAGTGCATTATGCATGGGAGCCATCTGGTCCCGTAGCTTAAGAAGCAAACTGAAAATTTGATAAAAGCACAAATAATCATAATAAGAGAGACTGAAAAGATGTGTTGATATTCCAAGCAGGAGTCTCCCTCCACAGGGGCTGATCTCATCACCCATTGCCTCTTTCCTGCTCTGTTCTTCGGAGAGCTGCTGTCAGACAGGTTGCACTCTCAGCTGTGTGAGTACATGCACCTTTGGGATCCTGACAATGTGTTTCATGTGCTTCTGCAAACCTTCTGGGACAAGATTTTTCTCACTAGCCAGCTGTGCAGAAAGCAAACTGTGCAAAATGTTTGTTTGGAGCGCAGCAAGTTTTATGGAACTGGTTTAAAATGCACTATCAGTTATGATTATTCATTAATATGACTGTTCTCATCACTGTGCAGAATTATGCCTTATGGATTTGACAGGAAGTCCTTCACAACTGGCCTAGATGTTCTCAGCCCTGGGGTGCAACAAGGAACCCAGAGCAGTGGAGGGGTAGTTTGGGACAGCTTGGATTTTGGCAAGAGTTTGTGCACAACTTGGTCAAGAGACAGGGTTACTAAAACTGCCTTAATTGGATTTTGGAGCCAGACCAATTTCCCCCCCCTTGTGACTCTGCTTTCTGATGTTTGGAGGGCACAGGGAAGGCAGGCAGACAGAAGATGCCTATTTTAGTAAGCCTCCGTGGGGAATACACACGCTTCAGAGAGGTACGCATTTGTTTCCTCTGACACTGAATTAATGGGAATTGATGTATTGATTCTGCAATTCTTCTAAAGATTACTCCACAGTTTGGCATGTTTCCAAGCTGGTTAGCTGCAATGTGCACACAGCTCAAGACAGATATTTAATTATTTTAATAGGAATACAGTTGAAAAAATTGTGCTCTGTGAAATATAGAAAACTATAGCATTATGATCATGCAAATAGTACAGCCATTCCTTTTTTATATGGGTTTATTCCATGTCCAGCTACATTTTTTGTTGCTGTTTTAATACAACCAACCCCTCCAAAATCAGTTATGAAGATATTTGCCACTAGTACCAATTAATTGTGTAATTTTCATTTTGTTTTTCCCTACTAATTCGAGGGTACACTTTTCAGAAGAAGTGCAATCTGCTGTTCTGTGTGCATGGAGTGCACAGGATTACGGTAGGTCTGTAATAAAACAAGCTACCACTATTACTGTTAAGCAATAATAACCCAAGACAGTCATTTACCAGTCTCAAGGATTTAAATTGACTCTCTTTGTGGATTTTTCCATGTTTAGCTATTTAAATATACTACATGATATGCTCTACTTGCAGACTCTTTGAATATCTCTGCCAAGCGAGCTCCTGGTCCTAGGTATGAGGCAGCATCTTGAGCTAGGGATGAAGTAACCGCCTTGCATCTTGGTGCTTTGATCAGTGGCACAGCTTTTATGATCTCACTAGGAAAGTTACTTGATGTTTCTTTATTGTGAGTGTCAGCATGGTTCCTGAAAATGTTTGAAGCCATCCTAGTATATCATTTATTTTCTGGCAAAGCAGCATCCATCTGCAGTTTAAGAATAGAACATGTTAAAACTGCATATAAATCTGAAGCACAGAATGCAGAGTTTCTGGGCAAAATTCTCCTCCTGGTTACACTTACGGAACTCTGGAGTAGTGTCTTCATCTTTCTGGTTGTTACTCTGAAACCCATTCTCATTTCCTCGTGTAAGACCCAAAGCTTCTGCCATATACGGATGAACGTGATTTCATCACAACTGTTGTAATTTCCTAGGGAAACGTACAATTTCTGAGGAAGTACCAAAGATGCATTTACGGTACATGGGCCTCAGTGCTCTAAGAAATGTAACGCTGCCAGTCGTTCTGTTTGTAGTTTACCACACAAACAAAAATATGATGTAGGAGGAACTGCTGAACTATCTGGAGCACAAGTGGGGAATCTGCACTGTATGGCTGAGCCCATTTTTAGAAAATAATGTTCAGCAGCTCTTTCTTTAAACAAAGGAATAGCTGGCTGTCAGTTGTTTGATATTTATTTTTGTGTAACTCTGTTCCTGGTCTGCTCGTGCTATAGAAATGCTGTTCTTCCACAAGAAGACAGATTGCCTGGGCTGGGAGCCCCCTTCTGATTCAGGGAAGCATGTGGTTTCCTTACAGTGCTGCTGATGATTATAATTACTATTTAGTATATGGTGCAATTGTTTTTGGCGTTTAAAACAGAGCAAAACAAAACAAAACAAAACAGTTTTGCAAAGGAAAACACAGCATTAGGAAAAAAAAAAAAAAAGAATTGCTAATTAGGAAGTGGTTGACCTTAAGGAGCAAACTCCATCTGCAGTGTTGCTATCCAGTGTTCCTTGTGATCAGAACATGGAAAGAGAAACGTCCATTAAGTATCCCAAGATCCTGTTGGAAAATAATGTCCTTCCCGTTCTGTAGGTATTGCAATTTATATCTTCTGTTCAGCAGCTGCTGGTGTCAAAGGCCAAAGGAGAAGGACATGGAATGCAGAGCTTGAAGTTTTTCAGCAGTAGCTAAAGGCAAAACCATCTAAAGCTGTAGCAGATGTTCCCTTATTTCCTGTCTGCTTATCAGCCCTGCAAAGGCACTTCTTCTTTGTGCTTGTTATGCCAAGTGTAACTATGGAGATCTAATACAAGCTGCGCAAGAGCGATAACGTGAATGGCTCCTTACGTATTTGGTTATGAATGATCAAGCAAAAAATTATGGTTTCTAAGAACTCCCTCAACGTTTTCTGCACACGCAGTAGTCATAGCCTTCTCACTGCCTCTTGGAAAGCGGCAGTGCACAAAATAATTTAAGAAAGAGTACATTACTGTGGCTCCATAGAGAATAATTAAATATGATTACTGAATTGTTGCTCCTCAGACCTTCCTGGGATCCTTTCTATTCAGACCTGCCCTTCCAGCTGGGAGGGTTACACCAGCTGAACTGTAGTTGTGTGCCATTCTTGATGGTGTTTGTAGTCTTTACTTTAAAACAGAAGTAGATTAGTATCATGGAATCGAGGAATCCTTAGAGTTGGAAGGGACCTTCCAACTAGATCATCTAGTATCTGCTGGGATACATTTCTGTGGTGTAATTCTTCACTACCCTCAGCTCACGTGCCGTGTATAACAGCAGTGAAGACGTTAGTTTGGCCTCAGCACGTTCATGTTTTGCTTGTTGTTCCCAGTACACAAGAAGGAGGAGCAGCATATCCTGTCTGTATCACTTGGAGGTGAGCACAGTTCTTTGGGTGAGTTCTGGGGTTGGATGCAGTAAACATACTCAAAAAGCTAGATATTGCTTCTGTGACTGGGAAAGGGAATTTTCAGGTGAAGCATCCAAAAGTAAGGAGCAATGTTTGGAATTAGACGGTCAGAGATGACATAGTGGAAAGTGGATAGATGAGATGGCTTAACAGGGCTTCATTGTGGTCAAATTAATTCAGTTTAAATAATTAATTCTCTTTTAAATTGACTCTAGTCTGCACGCTTGACATTTTGGAAGAGCTGCCATTCCCTGTCCTTCTGGTAAACGCTTTTGCATCTGTTTTCCATTGTCTCCTTCTTGAAATAATCCTTGTCACTAACAGGAACCATCAGCAGCATGGAACAAATTGACTTGCCAAGGACATTTCCTCCAACCCCATTATTTATACTGGAAGTATTCTTTTTTATATTACAAAACAGACAATGATTTAAAGAATTTGCCATATATCATGATAGTTTAATGCTGCCACTATGAGTCAAACTCAAACTTGGTTAAGTGAGTTATTTACATTGCATCAACATTTGGCCATACTTTTTGGAGGAGGTGATTAAGCAGTCACTAATGATTCCTCAATTCCCTCTGCTGGCGCTGTCATGCAGAGCTCCACGCAGAGCTCCCTGCAGTATGAAGGGTATGGATCAGATGTGTCACTCTCACTCCTCTGCTGTTAGCAGATTGATTTGGAGATGTAAGCAGATGAGTTGGAGTAGTGTGGATTAAGCAAATAAGTTCTGTTTGTTTGTTTTTTTTTTCTTCTCAAGGTTTGTGGTCACTCTCATCTCTTTTGTCAGCTCCAGGCTGTTTGTGCTGAAGGTGGCAGAGCTATTATGGCAAACGGGTACAAACAGGAGGACTCAAGAGTTCTGCATGCATGAGGGCTCTGCTGAGGGTTCCTTTGGGTATGCTGGACCAAACCCTGGGCAAGCTCAGAAAAGGGTAGAAGCACGATGTGACCTATATCCTCTATGAGTCACCGCTAAGATTCACTGTTTTTCTCTGTTTACCTCTGTTTCTGAGCAGCTGCTCACATTTTTGAGCAAGTACATCTTACCTAGTTGAATGGGTAGATGAGTATAATTAGAGCCCAACAGAACAGGGTCAGTAGTTGTACTAATGTATGGGAACATTCCAAAGCAGTTACAGAAGAAAAGAATTTCAGATAATTAAGAGAGGTGTTGGACAGTGGTACAGATTTTAAAAGTACCAAGGTGAAATAACAGATACTAAAAATATCTATACTGAGATGAAACCCTCATGAGTCAGTACTTGAACCAACTTCCACTCTGGGAATTTGTCATACAGTCATCCAGATAGAGTAGATTACAGCATAATTACTTAGTCTGGTGGGTTTGCACTTACCCTTCAAGGCATCTTCTGCTGAAAAAGAGACAGGTGTGAATTAATAGTGCAGTTGCAATATTATTTAATATGTTCAGAACTAGCTGTAGCTTTTTAAAAATTGGGTTTTTTTTTCTAGATAGAAAAAAATCTTTCTACCTAGAAAAAAAATCAAATAATGAAAGCTCTCTGTCTTGTATGACAAATTCACTGATAGCGTGGCCTGAGCTGCATTCTTTCAGTCAATCAGGACACATTTTTTAAATACCCATGACTCTCTAGCTAATATTTCAGCAGTGATGGCTCTAGCTTGCAATGAAATGCTGAAGTGTTACTTTTTCCTTCTGCATAAGGTGTTTTCTGAGTAGGTGCACCATTTTGAAAGTATTGAAAGCACTGAAAGGATTTAAAGTATTTTAATAGAAAGAAGCATTTTGAAGGGCCGTAGAGTTTCAGAAAAGCAGTGGAGCTGCGCTACAAGAACATCAGCTTTAATTTGGGTCAGATTTTCAGTTGCAGATGTATCTGCAGTATCTGATGCATTTTCCTGGAAACTCTGCGTGGCAGTTAGTGAGAAGAGTGACCTGATGTTTGCTCACTGCACAGAAGAACTGCTCTGTTTGCTGATTTCATTGAATGAAGCACTGCTCTTATTTCCAAAGTGGAGTACTGTTGAAGCTTGGTCATGAGCAAAGCTTTTCTCATGGAACAGTGTCAGACAGAGAATATAAAATCTCTCCTTAGTGCATCTTGACAGATGTCAATCTGACTTGTCAGCTTTCTGAATTTTAATGATCTGGATTAATTTCCAGATAATAAGTATTTATGTAATTGAGATGCCTTATAAATGAATATGGAAATGATTCCATAACATTAATTACAGGTCTTATGACTTAAATACTTAACAAATTAAAGGCAAATGGTGAGGTGGATTGTTTTGAGTTTATTAACTTTGTACTTTTGGTGGTTTGATTTATTTTAACGTGACTTCCATATGTCAGACATGTTTCCTCAACCAAAGGAAACTATGAGCTTCAGTGTATTAAAGGATATGAAAGAGTAATGAAATTCAAAATGCATCATGCACAGGAAGAAGTAAATGCAAACTGAGATTTCAGAACATTTGTCTATGAAGCAAATAAATTAGTTTTTCTTGCAGAATCTCATCTTACATGTTGTTAGTCCGTTACTCAAAGATGAAATAGTTTTAAATTAATTATAATACTTTGTACTTCTGTAGCTGTTTCTCTCAAGAATCTCAATAGTACTCTACAAATATTAATTAAGGCTAATTGTACCCCTGAGAAGTGGCTAACTGACAGATATACTTCACTTAAACCATCATGATATGACTGATCCTTAGAACAGAACACCAAAAATTTAAATAGCAGGACTACATGAGGGCCTGAAGTAGGCAGTGGGGCCTCTTTGGGTACATGGAATGCAATTGCTTGGTCTAGACAAGACTTGAAGGTAAACCTAAGTGCAAAAAAATAAGGAGCTGAAATGGGAAGTAGTCAAAAGTGGTTTTAAATCTGGTGTAAGAGGAGGTACCCACAGCACCACAGCATCACATGGAATGACTCTGGGAGATGAATTGGACTGATTCAGGGAAAAGACTGCTATTTGTAGAAATTGCCTCCAGCTGGGCCAAGGAGCACGAGTCCAAAGGAAACCTTAAGGCTGATGCATGAACAGCAGTGATAACAGTTAAGTCTTTATTCTCACTCCTGAGGCACAGGAGCTGCTGAAAATAGCAACAAAACAGCAATATCATTCTGTATGTTTACAGCCTGAGACTGTTACTTTTGCTGGCAAATCTGCACGCATAATTTCCTTCCTGCTATTACTCCACAAAGAGAAGCTTTTGTTATCGTGCTTTAATGATGAGAGCAATACTCAGTGCTGCACTGGACAACAGGTTGTTGCTGTTAGGACGTGTGTTAGGACTCGGACCATCCTCGAGCAACATTTCTGCTGTTCTATTCTTTAAAAATATGCTGCAGATATTTGTTTAAGAGCTTCTGTTGTCTACAGGAAGAGCCACTCCAAAAATACACTCCAGCTGTACATATTTATTTGCCTACTAATTACAGGAGAAGAGGTGTGGCATCATTTGCTTGATACCCCAACACGCAGCAACACAGCAAAGCTTGATGTTAACTGCTTTATGATGCACAGTCCTAAATCTTCAGATGCACACTTTGAAATTCTCAGGAAGAAAAGCATCACTGAAAAGTGAAATGATGAGTTTGCATCTTTTTTTTTGTTTGTTTGTTTTTGGTTTTGTTTTTGTTTGTTTGTTTAGAAAATATTTAGAAAGATTTGGGTCTCCTCTTTGGGAAAGTTTTCTTTCCTTTTTGCTTCCCAGCATTTCTGAGCTTTTGGGAATGCAAACTCTGATATAAATACTGGCAATAAACCCTTGCTGAGAAAATCTACCTGCTGGAGAAAAAATCTGCTCATTTTATCCAAGTGGAATGCCTAGACACTCCAGTTAGACTTTATCCTTGCTCATATACAACAAAATTCTCTATTTGCATTTTGTGAATTGCATTTCATGGCACACATGACTCTGATTCCTAAGGAACCCCCCCTGCAGTGCTTCTGCTGAGCTCAGTGGCCGCTGGATCAGGCCCTGTGTTTGCTTCATTTCCCCGTATTTCTATCTGCTTCACTAAGTACTTTATCTAGAGAAGGGTCTGAGTCTTCTTTTTTGCATACATGCATGATATTCTATTGCCTCTTTTATAATTTATAACCAGTAGTTTCCCTGGAGTGCAAAAGCCTTTCAGAAGGACTACACTTGAAGCAGTAAAAGGAAGGATAACTGCACCATTGTAGTGCTGCATCATAACATTTAAATACATTATTATTTCATAATCTGTCCTAGAGCTTAATCATTGCAGGCAGGGACAGTCTCTCTATGTCAAAAGGGATAGAATCCAGATTTTCAAATAAGCATATATTAAAAGAAAAAAATAAAATGCTGCTTCCAGTGTCATTCCAGCTTGCCAAAGGCTCCATTTCATTGCATAAGCCTCTGGATGTAGATCTATTACTGTATCATAAAGTGGGTTACTGGACAGGGTAAGGCAATCCATCCTCTGAAATGCAGACTGTTGCTTTGCCAGTTACATGGTTAATACTTATCCACTATCATTATATTTATAGTTATTTTTGCCAATGTTACAGATGTGCCATGTCTTTTTGGAAGACATTCTCTTGGGTTCTTTTGGAGTCTCATTCTTCCTCCATGAAGATGTGAATGAGCAGAGCACACAGCACAGCCAAATGAATTCAAAATGAATAAAATTGGTAAGAAAATGGGCAGATTAAGCCCTGGATTGCTTACTTAAGTAACTGAAATAGTTTTGCCTATGGAAGCCGGTTTCTGCCAGAAAATAGTGGAATAATAATAGCTTTTAATTATTTTTTTTCTGAGCACTCTTGAAGCCTCATGAATTATAAGCAGTCAGATCTCACAGTCCCGAGACAAAGTCTGTTAAAACTATGTCCTAGGACAGAGAAATTCTCAATTCCATTCCTGGCACTGTCCCTGACCATCTGTCGCTTGTCCTCTGCCTTGCTTCAGTTTACCCATGTGTAAAAAGCACTTAAAATAAACAAAACCATGCTTTGAAAATGACTTCAGTACTACAAGCTAGAAATTTGGGGGTTGCAACATGGGAAAAAATGATTCAGTGTTTGCCAGTCCACAGAAACCCTGCGAGTCCCCCTGGGGAAGCTAAATCCGACTGACAGCTCTCTACCCCATACTTGAGAGGACATCACGTTGAGCATCACATTGCTGCCCACCTGCAGTACACATGGTGGTTGACTCATTTAATTGACTTCCAATGCATACTAAGAATCTGATCCAACACTGACTGGAATTAATAGGAACACTTCTGTTGACTTAATGATCTGTGGGTCAGTCTCCATGTGTGTGCAGAGATCTCTGCCTTGAGATCCCCAGTGTTCCCATGAACAATGTTTTAGGGAAAGGCTTTGTTTGACTAACATATAGACCCTTTTCTGTGCAGCGAGCCTGCAGGAACTGTGCATGCAGTGAATGTCTCTGCCTGTACAGTAACACTATTCACTGATGTTGCTCTTTATTCAGAAGCAAATACAGCACTACAGTCATTATTGCTCACAGACCCTTTCACATGTGGCATTATTTGAGTCTTGATGTGGACAACTGATGACAAGCTATGGAGGAAAGCTTTGCAGTTAGATATAAGATAGGAGGCATGGCTTGATAGAGGTATTGACAAGCCAGTAATGAAATGGAGCACTACAATTACATGTGCTAGTGGGGACCTGGGGATGAAAGTGTGCCACAGCCAGCAGAGAGAGAGAGTAGCAGGTAGAAAACAAGAGGGTTGGTGGAACCGGGGGAGAAGGAGGAGGAGATGGAAGAACAAGAAGGACAGGATGGAGATAAGCAGTGTGGGTAGCTGTGATGGTGGGATTGGGAGAAACTACTTTGTTTGGTGTTTGTATCAGGAGTTGCAAGGTAAGGTCTGCATCCCTGGCTCCAATTTGCTGATGCTGACACAAAATATAATTAAATATAGATAAGTCCCTAGAGTACTGAATCGGTGGAAGGAAATAAACAGGTTGGGCTATAAATTAACTGGAACTCAAAGATATATACATAAAAGTTACCTATTATGTGATCTGAAAAGTAGAAAAACTGACATGGGAAGTTTAAGAATGGTGTTTCTGTAAAATTAAAGTTTCCGTTAGCGACTGATGAGTATTCTCATGGAATCTAAACTCCAGAACTATTTGAACTATTCATGGTCAGTGCAATGACTTTGTGTCAGTTTACAGGCAGCTGAAACAATACTTAAGAGCTGAAGAAATACTCTGGTGGGTCTGTTCCTACCTTACAGTGGAAGATAAAATCCATCCTTGAATGTGAACACCAAAGATCTAAACATTACACCTGCACGAAAAATGAACAAGGGAAAAGAGCACAAAATATGCTGAATATCAAAGTTACTGACACAAGCTAAAAGATGGACTTTATGATTGCTAACTATTTGAAAGCACTTCCAGGATTAGAATCCATCCAAAATGATCATAGGATGTAACACAGCGCTGCATAATTCAAGGATTCTTCACAAAATACAGCCCAGCTTGCTGCAAATACCCAGGTACTAAGTTCTTCTTTTCTTTATTTACTCCACCGAATATCGTTGAGAGATAAAATGTCCATACGAGCGTGGCAATAAATGCATTTTATGCAGCAGTACGAGAAACAGGCAACGTTCTTGCAGTCCCCACCTGGGAGAGAGGTTGCCACAATCCTCAGGCAGTGCTCTGTTGATCAAACAAGAGTCAGACTCAGCACACAAAAATCAAACCTGGCAGCACAAAGCTGTGTCTGCGTGTACAGGCTCGTACAGGGGTGCCTCTGCCTGGGTCGTGTCAGCCACTCCATTTCCTACACGGCGCGTAGGAGGAGCAGCACTGCTGCTATAAAAGGTCATATTAATTAAAAAGTAGGGAGAAAAAGTAATGTTTTGCACTTTTTAATTTTCGTGTTCTCCTTTCCAGCCAGATTTTCAGGAGGGATGAGTTAGATCTATACGGTAAGTTTGAACGCACTTAAGCACTCGCAGCACAAATTCAGAACCGTATCTGACTTTTTCCCTTTGTAACAAGCCACATCAAAACCCTCTGAGCCAAATATCCCTAACTGAGGGAAGCTTGAACTCCAAGCCAAAATTGCATGGTTGGAGCCTGTCCCTAAACATCACTGCAAAAATAGCACATCAGTACAGCGTTTGGAAACAGGAGTGCGGCCCGTCGGATGCCAGGAAAGCAGCACTCCCGTGTTCCAGCGCAGGCAGAGGCTTTTTGTCGTGCTCAGCACCATCTTGCCGCGCCGCACTGATCTGAGCTGCGCGTTCTTCAAAGGTTATTTTCGTCTCAGGTTCTTTCACGGGCTTTGATGCAGCAACGCGGTGCGGGTTACATCAGGCCTGCGGGGAATCCACAGAACCCGTTCTGTTTTTTCCAGGTACCCCCGCCCCGCCGACGGGCACCGCAGGTGAGCGAGGCTGGGATGTTTGGGCCACAGATGGGTTTCTGGTTAATTTAAAGGCGCCGGAGAAGGAGAAGCTGTGGGACCGAGCGGGGAGGAGAGCTCTGCGCAAACAGCGCGTTGTGTTTCGGGCTGTGCTGGAGGGGTTCCGCTGATCCGTGGATCCCCACGGCTCGGGGAAGGAGCCGGTCCTCAGCGGGGGGAGAAAGGAGGGAAGCGCGGACCGCCGGGCCGAGCCGCCCTCCTCCGCGGCGATCCTGAGGCGACCCGAACCTCCAAGCTCGGCCCCGGCGCCGTGCCCGCCCGAGGGGCGGCGGGCGGCGCTGTGCGGGGAACCATCCTCCTCCCGCGATCACGAGCCGGCGCCCGCCTCCCCCCCGCCCCCGTGACGGCCAAGATGGCGGCGCCAGGAGGCGGCGCGGAGGGGAGGGGGGATCCCGCCTGAGCCGCCCACACGGCGGGAGGCGGTGGAGGCGAGCCGGGCTCCGCTAGGATGAGATAAGGGCGCGGGGACCGAGTGCGTTTCCCCTTCCCCGCGCCCCTTCGCCGCCCGCTGCTCGGCGCCGGGGGCAGGAAGCGCCGGCGGGCCGTTCCCCTGCCCCGGGGAGCGCGGCCCCGTGTGAGGTGAGGGCCGGGGGGAGCGCCGGGCTGTGCGCGCGGGGCTGTGCGGGGGGAGGGGGGCGATTCTCCGAGCAGATATTTGGGGCGGGGGCCGGGGAAGGAAGGAGTTCCGCAGGGCTCGGCGGGGCGAGGGGCCCCGCGTGGGCCGCGCCGAGCAGCGCGAGCTCGGGGCCGCCCCTCGCGCGGGGCTGCGGCGGGAGGCGGGGGGGCCGAGGGGCGGGCGGCTCTTCGCGCGCCCCCTCCTTCCGCGCCTCGGTAACTTTCCGTTGGGCTGCGGCGAGAGGGGGGAAACTTTCTCCTCTCCCTCCCGACCCCCGAGGCGATCCGGGGCCCAGCGGAGCCCCCGGCCCGGCCTGCGGGCCTCGGGCCGCGCCGCTCGGCCGTGGTGAGGCGGGATGCCCTGGCGCTGCCATGTTACGGCCGGGCGCTGCTCGTCCTTCAGCGCGGCTGCAGGCGCGGCTCGCCGCCTGGCTCGGGCAGGTGCCGCTCGGCCGTATTTCTGTTGTAAGTTTGCCCTCGGCTCGCAGAACGCGGCTGACTTCCAGCTGGATTAACGTGGCACGCTGGACATCAGCCCTGACATTTCGGTTCTGTCCCGTCATGATGTCTGCGCGCAGCGGGGATCGTTGGCCGAGGAGCGGTGGTGTTTAATGACTCCTCGGCAGCGGTTGTTATTCTGGAGTCGTTTCAAACAGGGTTTTAACGTGGGCTGCCCTGAGAACGGGGATTTCTCGTTCATTAGCAATGAGGTCCCGGCGCCCCGTTCTGAGGTTGGGGTTTTTTGAATTTACTGAGCATCCCGGACGGCTTTTCACTCCATTTCACAATTTTTCTCCGAAGCTGTTGCTCAACTGGAGGTTTCTGTAAAGAACGTAACGCGTGGGTACGTAATCTTTTCACTTTCGGAGTGATTAAACTCAAGTATTTGATATTGATCCGCGATGATTTAGGAGAAGGAGTCGAGTTAGTGTAGCTGAGCAGTGAATGGTTTATTTCTGGTTTGTGTGTCAGGCAGACCAGCTCACTTTGTGAGAGTCTCCCGTTTCTCTTCTCTTTTTAAAAATTCATATATTTAGTGAAACTCGATCCTGTATTACGGAGCTGGAAGTCTGTGGGCACGTGTGAAGGGGTGGCAGAATGGGACTGCTTTGCTGGGGAATGGGGAAGTGCTTGTGGGGTCGTTGTGAGCTGGCACTGAAATGGTTTAATTATCAGGAACGTGGCATTTGTTTTTGTGGTTAACTTTTGGGGAAGGAGAAGACTGCGTGGAGCCGTATAGATGAAATCAGAAAAAAAAAACCAAACCAGCTTCTCTACAGCCTTAAGAGCTTGCATAGTGTGCATATTTTATACTAGAAGCATTAAGGTCCAGCTGGATGAGGAACTTTGCTGAAGTTTATAAACAGTCCCTGCTGCTTTTGAACATGCTTTACCCAATGGGCTCTTCTAAATTGTGCTCTTACCAAAAACTAGCACGAAAAAGATAAGATCTCATTCTCTGAATGCTGTGCCAAAAGGCACTATGACCATTTTTTTTTTTTTTAATACAGGCTTACTTAGAAATATTTTTCCCATATGAAGAGCATTCATACGCTCAAGTTTTGGTACTTGTAGCAGCGTGGTTGCAGGCCCACATTTCTTGTGAACAGCTTGCTCTCTATGCTCTATCGTGCCCATATGGAGCTTAATGGAATCTCTATATGTGTTAATGGCAATACCAACTATTTTGTATTTACATAGCCAGAGTTAATTATTAGTTAGCAAAAGCATAAATATTGACAGAGCCTGGCTTATTCTGTAGGACTCATGTGAGTGCAGCTGATCTCTGCAAGCATTGGGAGCAATGTAAATACATGGATCACATTTAAAAGAGAAAGTAGCAAGAAAGAAAGTAGAGCTAAGTTGGTGCCTGGTTTAACTGAGGAGAATGGAGTTGAATGAGAAAAGCGTTTAATATCACCTCCTGTATGGCCTTGAGGAAGGAGTTGGGAACGCTGCTGCTCAGAACTGAGCCTGATGTTTAATCTACAGGATATTGCATTGAAGGATTTATTCATCTCTAGGTAAATTCCTGCTGGAGTGTGTGATAGCTGGAAAAAGAGTCTCGTGACTCTTTGCTAGAGGAACACAGTCTAGATTGAGTTGAATAGTGATAATGGGGTTTGTTAATCTTGAGGTTTTAAAATTGGAGAAAGAAATCTGCTGTGTCACTTAAATATTCAGCATCCCTTTTCAATTTCCATTGTACTTCTTAGCAACTGAATTGGAGTTAGCTTTGCAAGTCATAATAGATGGAAATGCTTCTTAGAAGAGCGAGTGGAGGAACATTTGCAGCTGTGGTCAAAGGGATGTCAGCAAGTTGTGGGAAGAGTACAGGAGTCACTTAGTCAGAACCTTCCTGAATCTTAAGTATCTGTTGAAATGAAAACTTGCAGGAAGTCTTTTGATTCTTTGTCCTTTCCTCAGAATTGACTTTAATTTTTAAATCTGTTGTTGGTGTGACCAAAGAGTTAGAAGCTGTAGAAGCTGAAATGTTGCACAACTTGTATTGGATTTAAAAGGAAAAGCTTGATGTAACCTTGTTCAAACATAATGTTTTAGGCACTGGTGGTTTCCAAGTATCTTGCTGTCTGACAGAGTCCCAGTAGCTCAGGTCTCAGTGCATCTAGCTGTGAGTTGGGAGTACTTGTTCTGAAGTTTCCTGGAAAGAACACTAGCTCTTCATAAATAGGGAGGAAAAACAGAAATAAAAACATTTTTGGTGTCTGTTGTGTCGTTCTTTTTTTTTTTTTTTAAGTACCTTAAATTGCATCATATTCTATGTTTAAGATTTTGCACCTTTGAAGAAAGGGAGGTTGTGCTTGCTGAAAAAGTAAGGGGGCTGGTAGTATGGTTTAGAGGGCTGAGTTGCATTTGTTCCTCATGCTTCTGCTGTGGTCTCACAGGATGGTCGTGGGAAAGAGCACAGAAAAGCCCCTTCATCTATTCCCTTATATATCAATTCTACATACAAACAGCATTTACTGCTGTGAGCACAAATTTTATGGCATACTGAGTACAGCAAATCCTCTGCAAGCTTAAGCAAGTTGTGCCTTGCTTTATTTGGAGGTAGCTAACAGGTATGAGGTGCATGTGTATAAACAGGGAAAGCATCACCACTGTTGAACTACTTCAGTATTCAGTATACTAATCAGTATTTTCTTGAAGGGAATGGGTCTCTCTGCAATATTGTGTGATTACCTTTAGGTGTTTTCTGTTATGTTTCAGTTCAGGCTTACTCTATGCCGGATCTGGAAATCTGGACTGTGACTGATTTGGAAATGCTCTGCTAATGTATGTATGTGTATAAAGTGCCACCACAGGCTGTACAACCACAATTAAAATGCACAGAGAGGGCTGTTCTATAGCAGTTGTTTCAGCCTGTGATGCAGAATTGGTGGTTCCCTATAGAGCTCAAATACCGAAGCAGGAGGAGATTGTGGAGGTGAAGTGGAAACTGAAGTGTTGGTCCTACTCTTTTAAATGGCACATTTTTCTCTTTTCAAAGTATTATTTCAAGTCTTAGATACAGGGTTACTGCAGAGGCTGCAGTGGAGTGATATTGTAGTAGACAGGAGCATGGGGAGAGGGGTGAGAAAAGAAATATGATATAAGCATAGGATGCGAGGAGTGAGGCAGAAGGTTAGAAGTAAGTTAGCCAATTATTTTCTCCCTGTTTAATCTGTACTTGAAATTTTGCCTTTTTCTTTGGGTGAGGGGGAAAAATGTCCTTTATGGATCAATGTATTTTATTTAACCATCTGAAATTAAAGTAGACAAGCAGCAAGAGTCTTGTATAAATCTTATGTCCATATACACAAATGAGAAAGTCCCCAGAGAACTGTGTGTGTGTGTGCAGGCCTTACACAAACAAACAGAAGCAAGCTGTGGGCAGGACTCTGAGTTTGGTTTTTATCTTGAGCTTCAGAAGAAACTTGTGAACTTGAAGATTTATTCTCAGTTGTACAACCAAGATGAAGATTTTGGTCAGCTCCAGAGGCTCCTGTGTGTCAGCACGTTTACTTGTGTAGTATTTCAACTATACAATTACAGTGGAAGAGCTAATGCTTTTCAGGACCTGCGTGTGCAGAAGTAACCAGACTCTGCACGGTGCTGTCAGTTTAATCCCAGTACAGCAGCACTCATCTCACAACGTGTACAGCTTTAGAGCTACCTTGTATGCTGAACTCCTATTCAGGACAGTGAAGAACTCAGAACTCATTATGTAGAGCACCAAGGGGCAAACCCTTCTGTGAGTAATTTTCTCACACTATTTAGCACATGGGTGACTCTCTCTGACCCAATACACTTAAGCTTTTTTTAAAAAAGGTTTATGTAATAGTTCTGTCCCAAAAGATGGGCAAGGGGTTTTAAGATAAATCTGTTCTGTGTTCAGAGATGCTTTGAGCTAGGTTTGGAATCCTAACATAGCAGTTACTTACCATATAACGGCACTTCCACTGCAATACTGTGATTACTGGGGGAAAATGCTGCCCTGGTTTTGTCTGCTAGCTAACCTGGCTAGGAACCTGTCACAGCAACACGTGCTGCTCAATGGATGTGCTGTAGCTGGGCTGGTAGCAGTACATTCACATTTATTTGTGGGGTAGAAGATGACGGTTTTGCTAACCGGATCTGGAGATTTGCTGGATGCGCAGGGTATTAGTTGGTGTTATCTCACCATTAAACCTTTCCAGCCCGGTGCTGATCATCTGCAAGTGGCAGTTGCAGTCTCTGTGTCATCCACTGCATGTCCCTTATTGGCAGCATGACTGGGTCCAGTATCCCTTCCTACAGGACATATTTGCTGGTGACAAACACACATGGGGGGGGGAAAAAGTGCTTTGTGCCTTCTCCCTTTACCCCATGCATTGAAAATTTTAATTTGGGTGGAGAGAGATTTCATAGCTAAGCTGAAATTGGCATATACACCCAAATGAGGCTGGGTGAAAGCAGAACTCTGA